GTGTTTTCTTACCTTAGTGTTGGAATACAGATGCTATTCACTAAAGTAATAAAGTAAATTATCATGTATGGATATAATAACAATAAAATAGTGACTACTCAGCGAAGAATTTTTAAACCTTTATTATTTCACTTAAGGAGTCAGTTTGGTGTAGTGGTTAAGGCATCATAGAAAGTAGAAGATATGAATTCTAGTCCCACCTCCTAAGGCACAAAACCAGTTGAGTGACCTTGGGCCAGTCACTCACCCTCAGTCCTAGGAAGCAGGCAAGAGCAAACCCGTCTGAAGAACCTCGGCAAAGAAACTCAGGAACTTGTCTAGCCAGTTATCAGGAGTCAAGACTGACTCAAAGGTCTTTTTTTTTACAAACCCCCCCCCAAAAAACTAAATTCATATAAATTATGAAGATTCCCATACATTTTATGAGGATTTCATGACACTGCCTAAAGACCTAACCAATAGTTATGTGTACAGCAGATCAATTATGTAGCTAAAAGATTTTAGAGTTGACATTGGCCCTACAACCATAAAGTATTCTAGATTTTCTGGAATCCCTGCAATGTGTTTCTTAAATTGGCCTATCTCGAAGGGCTGACAAATCTTGAATTCTGTATGCAACTGCAATTAAACTGACCTTGAAAGAAAAATATGAAGAACCCAGCCAGTTGCTCTAAGTTTATTAGAGTTTGTAATAAAGAAAGAAATATATAGATACAGAAAATATTGTAACTTCATTTCTTCTGAGTTGGGCTTAATCTTCTGAGAAGAAATGAATTGGCTGCTCATTAATTAGAATAAGGAACTCCATGCGTGCAGCAGATCAGAAACTTGCCTACGTACCAAAGGGAGCTTGTAATTATCTCGTGAAAGTAATAAAATATATATAGAAAAATGCAAGAAGCTTTATATTGCTCAGGCTTAAAGAAAGGGAGGGTGTATTTTTTTTAAAACTATACTCTCTTGCTTGGTTTAATAACTAGTGCCCTTGCTAATTCAGCTTTTAGACACTTGAAGGTAAAGATAAGTAATAATATATTCCTAAAGACAGCATTCCTAGGCATGTTTACTAGGAAATTTTTCAGAACTTGGATTTAATACACATGAAAAGCTTTGGATTACTGGAAACTTGTTTCCAGACATAGGAAGCAAATAAAATTTAGGTCCCTATTTAGGTTGAATTGTTTTGAAGCTTGATGCAGATTAGGAAAAAAGAACTTCAGCATTTAGCTGTAGAACATCTTTTTACACTTACCATCTTTTTAATACAATAGCTTGTAGCTAAAAAGAAAAAGAAAAATGGATGGTTAACATGATAGATAGATGGATGGATGGATGGATAGATAGATAGATAGATAGATAGATAGATAGATAGATAGATAGATAGATAGATAGATAGATAGATAGATAGATAGATAGGCAGGCAGGCAGGCAGGCAGGCAGGCAGGCAGGCAGGCAGACAGACAGATATACAGAGAGAGAAAGAGAGAGATAAATCTTTATTATCATTTTTTACTGTGGGACACAATGGCACACATTAAAAATGAATTTAGTTGCTTGCTCTTAAATGTACACATACATAACACACATTTAAACATACTATATACAACATATGTATAGACCTATACCCTTACATATAAGTAACATATAAATATTAATCACTGTCCATCTTGAATACATAACAGAAGGAGGAAGCTTTAGAGTTCACAAGGTGAACTCCATTAAGGAATTGTACTTGCATTTAGTAACTAAGGAAAAAAGTAAGGTATTTTTAGAAAAAGAAAAATTGGTTTCTTGTTATCAGGTCTAAATTTAGACAAATCAGTGTATAATGTACTTTATTTCTTGTTAAGTGATTCTTCTCTGGAAGTATATTCTAAAGTGCATACAGTAATATAGTATGGAAAGTTTCAATGAGTAAGCAAAAGCATTGGATCTTTTCTTTCCTTAGGCAGAAAAACTAAGTGGCTGTGTTAATTGAATTTGTTTACAAATAACAACTCTATTTATAGTATAATATATCAGATTGTTTTGGAAGGAATCAATATGTGCTAAATAATTTTCTTCCATATCATTGTCTTGAATGACACAAAGATGAACAGGAGTAGAGATTCATTGTTCACCAGATACAGCTCCTTAAACACCATTAGCTAATCAGCATACCTCATTCACTCCACATTTATTTTGAAATATATGTTTTATACCATGTCTTATTTTATAGCCATGGTAACTTCAGATGTGGTTGTTAATTAAATAACCTATAACCAATTTTTTAAAAAGCAAGAATCTTGGCTTTTTACCATACCATCAAAGTGTCAGTTTTGCTTAAGGCAGTTTTTCTGTCCTGAATAGATGAGAATAGGCAGTGTACCAGCAGTATTTCAGATTGCTCAGGCTTGTGGAAGCATTTTTAAGAACAACATCTTTTGTGAGTTTTGTTGTGTTTGTTGGCATCCTTCCCTTTTCTCTTCTGGAATGCTCTGCCTGATTCCATGCCACCTTAAAATAATTTATTCTCTGTGTCTTGTTGCTACATTTATATGCTTGTGTGCAGGCTTGTGTTCACACATTGCAGTAAACCTGAGTTTGTGATTTATGAACTAAACCAAAATTGGCTAGGTTCTCACAAAACTGAATGCTAGTTTAACTGATTTTAATTTAAAATTACCGGGTGGGGGGGACATATTATGAGATTGAGGTACATTTTTAAATAATAAAGCTCTACCCTCATCCTTTCATATGTGATTACTACATAAAATGGCAACGTTTTATTTGGTGCTCTGCAGATTACGCTCAAAATTAAGCAGAAACTCACCATCCCACTGGATCGTGTTTTTCTGTTGTTGTTGTTGTTGTTTTTAATGTAGTGGCCTGTCCAGAAATACTTTCAAAGAGATGCTGTAATTCAGGTGGACCCGGAAGTCAGCCGATTTCATTTCGAATCTTTGCGGGACCGCTCCGAACCCAGACTCGAAGCAAAGTTTGGGGTTTTGTGGGATTAGTTTCGTAATCTGCGTTTTATAGCGCGACTGCGAAGCCGCTTTCTCCTCACGGTCCTCCCCACCCACCTTTCGGCTGGCTTTGACTCTTCGAGGCGCCTGTACCCAAATAACCTTTTTCCCGCCAGTTTCTGCGGACATTTTTTCCCTTCCCAGAATTCGTCCCGCCCTCCATCCGTCCCACCTGTGCCAGGTAGAGAGGCAGCGGCAGCAGCTGCAGATACCGCAGGCGAAGGCGGGCCTCGCTCCGTCGGGCGGGTGCGGCTGGCTGCTCTACGGTTGGCGCCTTCCTGGGAGCCCGGCCTTGGCGCTCTTTTTCTCAGGAGTTGCCTGCGGACTGAAGGTCGCTTGGAGGCGGTCATCGAACTCGCGGCTGGGACTGTGGGAGGAAGAGCTGCTTAGTGAGTACCCACAAGGGAGTAGCCGGCCAGCGGAGAAAGGAGCGGGGATGGGGAAGGGTCGTTGCGGTCGGCCCCGTCAGGGAGGGAGAAGTTGCCGAGAAATCCGGGGAGATGAGAGAGCAATCTGTCCTTCGGTCTTCCCCGAGTATAGGGAAAGGCTGGGTGGAGGGCCGTGAGCCTGTGCTGGTCGAGGAGACGCGCCTGCCCGCCCCGTTTCTCCCTCGGAGGCGAGGCCACTGCGACAGATGCGCAGGGCTGGAAGGAAGCGGGGAGAGGCTGGTTGAAGCCAGCGAGTTGAATGACCGCTTTGGCTCAGTCGCGGCACCGCTAGCTCTGGCTTGAACTTGGGGAGAGGTGTTTTCACCGCAGCACTCTTGTAGTTTAGGAAGCACGTGGAAGAAGCTGGACAAGGGGTTCCGGCTCTTTCTCTTATTGTTGCAAGGATGCTTCCATCGAGGCAGAATTGTGCATTCCCACGAGTTGGTTTCACAAACACGCTGAAGTGCATTTTGTTCATTAATCCAGGCATTCATTCGTTCCATTTTTTTTCATAGCTGTCCACCTCAATCCAATTTGGTTTGTTTGTGTGGCAGTGTGTTGTGGCACCCAGTCAAATCTGTGACTGTAAGATACCGATTGGAGAAGTTCAAAGAGGACCTAATCAACATTAGCAGCCTTAGTGACTTAGAATAAATAGATTTTACTCCAGTTCTTGTTTTTATTTTTGTGTTTGGCTGTATATAATTACCAATGCCCAATTTCAGCCTAATTTCTTTGGGTATGTGTTAAGCCATTAACTACATGGACTTAGTTTGTACGGCACAATAATCTAATGCATGTGTGCTTAATTTATGGCTTAGTGAGCAATGCAAATACATCTTAAAAGTAAAAGATGATTTGAAAATTACCACATGCACTAACATGACCCAAATAATGTCTACTAAACATGCTTATTAAAAATGTCACAACTGTACAAACATGAGAAAAATCTGTTGCCCTGTGTTTTGCTGAAAGTTCAAAAAGATATTTGTTCTTAATAGAATAACATTTTAGAGACCTTTTTAAGTAAGCAATTTAGACTATTTAGAAGTAAACTTTTTAAACTGGGGTAGGGTTGGGAATGGTATTTAATCTGATATCAAAGAACTGGATTGTTAAAAAGTAGAGTTTGCTTTGAATTAAAGTCACCTTCTGCAAACTGTAAGGACATGTCCACGTGGTTTTCTTATCAACTGCACAGAAATGGTTTGCCATTGCTACCTTGTGTGATATTTTCTGACTTCTCAGTATGATTTGCAGACCTAGGAAATTCTGGTGCACTCCCACTAAAGTACAGAACTATTCCAAACCTATTTTAAGGTCCACTTAAGTTGGCTAGGTGCTTCCATCTGCTTTGATTTCCCAACAAGATTTCACTTAATGCACTTAATGCATTTTACAAAATACAATATTTTATATGTTAAAGTGCCATTTTCAAAGAAGGTTCTAGCATTCAACAAATACTTCAGATATAGTTTCTTAATTATTTTGAACAAATGTTTAATAAGAAAGTTTTGATCATTATACAATCTCACTTCCTTTCTTTCTTTCCATTTTTTTCTAGTCTAAAACCCGCTCTTCAGAGTCTTCGAAGGAAGAAAAAAAGAAGCCGGTTTTGGGAAAGTTTGGACATTTTTTTACTACAGGGAAGAGAAAAAATCCCAAGAATACACAGGAATCTTCTTTAAACCCAAGTATAAAAAGTATAAGGCCAGAATCTCCTCATAAGAATTTAGCCCCATTGGCATCCATAGAAATAGAGGACCTAAATGATCTATCTAAAAGTGAGGAATCTCTTACTGATTCGATTTACGAGCAGAATCAATCAAACACCCAGAATACTATTGACAATTCAGAAGATTATCTTTACAATAGGGATCTGACACCTTTATATAATGACATTGTTTCAGAATGGAACACTAAAGGGATTTCTTCTGGCAGTGAATGGTCACTTGATTGGCATAGTAGTAATGAAACCATAAAAGATACATTGTTTGATAGCAATCTTACACTTGAGACACTGGAAGGAGAGAACGAACTTGTCACTGATACAGACACGACTCCAGATTTCTTTAAAAGTTTATCTACTCTGTCTGATGAAAATCTAGAACAAATCGAATTAAACCACAAGGAATTAGTGGAGCCTCTTACGTTTGCAGAATCAGAATATGCAGACTCAAAAGATGGATCATTTTTTGTGGAACCTGAGCAAAATGAGCATCCCCAACCTTCTAGAATATTGACATTGGATATTTTTCTTCGTAGAGCTGAACAACAAAATCTGAATAAACCAGTAGCTGTTGTATTAGACGACGATTGTAGCAGCACAGACATAATGGATAAAAAATCTGCAATTAGGAAATCTGGAAAGAGGAGAAAATCTCAGAGCTCCAGTGATGTGCCAAATGGGGATAGAAATGCAAGTGAGAATACTGTGAAAGAGGAGCCGTTTTTTGATGGTACTCCTTCTGATATGGTTCCAGAAAAAATAAGCACTTCTGAAAGAAAACTTAGGCCTTGTCAACAGATTATATCTCCTACGAATAATAATGATATAAGGTCTGGAAGTAATCATAAGGGTTTTGAGAAGTGCAAGCAGCAGAGCCCGGCCTCATCCCCGTATAAAAAGAAATCCTTAAAAAAGAATCAGTCTGATGCAGGTCCTCCTTCACCCATAGGCATAAAAAGTCCTGGAAAAAATCTTTCCACCAAAAGACAGAGTGACGGTGTAATGGATAGTAATTCAACATCCAAATGTATTTCAGTAGAGGAATTGCCTTCTGATGAAAACATTGTAGTTCCTCCTTTAGGCATTGTGAGCAGTAGCAGCACTTTGTCACCACCTGAAGAGAAGACAGAATCTCAAGATTTGCATTCTGTCAGAAGTTCTGATGGCAAGGTTATATTGCCGCTTGACAAGCATAAAAATAATGAGGTAGAAGGCAATGGAAGACAAATTTCTTCTGATTTGGATGAAGCAAAGCCAAGGAATATATGCCTTGATGTTTCCAGAACAGTCACAACAAAAATTAGCCTGTAAGTAGTTTAATGTTTTACATAGGATGAAATGAAATATTCATTATTTATTTATCTGCCATGCACGTCACCTATCTTTCAATAAGCTGGGATTTTAACTGCTAAATATCTGCCTTTATGCATGGACTCTACTTGTTTGAATGTAAGTGAATATAATATACTTTAATTGTCAGAAAGAAACTCCAGCATTATAATTACTAATACTTGCTAGAACATATATAGCTGATGTCAATTAGAATATTTTCATCTTTCATTCTTTCCTCTAGCCATTGATAGAATAAATCCCAAGTTTGGTGATATTCTGTTTCTTTATCTTTCAGTCTCATGGTTAATCTGTCCACATTCAAATATTTTTCTGATTAGTTCTTCCTCCTGTGGTAATCCTTCATTTTTCCAATATTGTGCAAAAATTATTCTTGCTGCCATTGTGACATGCAAAACCAAATCTAGGCTTTGTTTATTAATCTTTTCTGGCATTATATGTAATAAGAAAAGTTCAGGTTTAAAATCAAAATGTTCTCCCAACATTTTTTCTAACCAGGCATGTATCTTTTTCCAATAGACCTTAGCTTTACCACATATCCACCAAATATGATAATGAGTGCCTGAGTTACAGTTAGGAACTGAATATGTATTAGCGTTTTTATACCCAGACAGTGCGTTGGTTGAAAAATTAATATATTTATGTAAGAGAAAATTAACAAAATCTTTATTAAAAAAATAGAATATTTTCATCTTGTTCACTTTCATTAATGAAGCGCATAGTAGTGCTTTCCATTTTTTATTCTTGGACTTGTCTCTTATTACAGCCAGCACCAAGCTATAACAATATTTTGCTAAATATAGGTAGTCTTTACTTACAACCATTCATTTAGTGACTGTTCAAAGTTGAAACAGCACTGAAAAAGTGACTTATGACTGTTTTTCACACTTATGATCATTGCAGCATCCCCATGGTCACGTGATCAGAATTCAGGTGCTTGGCAACTGGTTTATGTTTATGAAGGTTGCAATGTTCCAGGATCATGTGATCCCTTTTTGCAATCTGTTGACAAGCAAAGTCAAAGGAGAAGGCAGATTCACTTAACAACCGCGTTACTAACTTAACAACTGCATGGATTCACTTAACTGTGGCAAGAAAGGTCATATAATGGGGCAAAACTCAATTAACAATTGTCTCGCTTAGCAACAGAAATGTTGGACTCAATTGTGGCTGTAAGTTGAGGACAACCTATATATTAAAATATCATCGAAAATCTTTTAGGAGTAGGAGAAATTTCTTTATGCCTTTTGCAATGAATGGTTGTCTTAACCATCATTACTCATTTAAATTTATTCCTGGAGTTGTTTTTTGTTTCTTTTAATAAAAACGTTAGTGGAGCTAATTGGAGACGGTTAATGTTTCCCTGACTTCTCCCTCTCTAAAACTTCCCCTTCCCTCCATCCACTGAAGAGACAATTACATCTAGAGGTCCTCTGCCTTTCTCCCCATTGCCATTATCCTCTCTGTCCCAGCTGCAAGCTATAGTAAAGTTCCTTTCTATAAAACCAGAACAACAATATTGGGGCAACAGTGGTGTCAGTTGGATCTTGTCGTTGATTAAAGATAGCAGAATTTCTGAAATAGTTGGCAGAAACCTAGTTGGACAGTTACAATCTTGTTTCTCTTTGTATTAAGCATATTGTAGTTTGAATACAGAGTGTACCTGTATGGTTTCCAATCTATCATTACAAGTTAGTGTTTTTTCAGGCTCAAGAACAACTTGTCTCTATGTCAGATGATTTAATAGAATTCTGTACTTGGAGAAGAATTTTAGTGCCAATTTGTAGGTAAATGGTCCAGGTTCATATGCAGATTTTACACATAATAAACGTATATGTGAACCAATTGCCCAAGCAACTGCACAGATTCTAATTAGTCAGTTCATAAATTACAGATGAAACTTTGCCACGTGGACTTTTATCTTGAAAGATAAATTTCAAGTGATCCTGCTGCGGATGAACTGAATTGCAGAGTGATGGATTTTGTTAATAAATAATGTTGTAAGCTCATTTTCTGTTATGTATAGTACATTTGGAATAACATAATGTTCTGAAGCAATGTTCATGATAACAAAAAAACAAAAATTGAGATGGCTTCCCTGAACAATGTTTTAAAAACATAGGTTTTGTGGCCATATTAATTTACATGAGATCTCTTCAAGATAGGATAAGTGAATCCATGACATTTTTTCAGGTACAGTTGTATGATTTGTAAGAGAAGAATGCACCCACCTATCCCTCCAGGTTTAAACTGCATCTGAAAGTACATTTAACTTCGCAAACTAAAGATGTTTTATTTGGAATCCATATACAGATTTTGAAAAGTAAAATATATTACAGTTTAAATTTGATTTAGGAGGGAAAGAGGAAGCATAGCTGCTCTTTAAAAAAACATATACGATATCTGTGTACTCTGATATGATGATCTGCAATAATAGATTAGGTGCGGTCATCACATTTAATTAATAAATTAATTATCTTTGGAGTCCTACCTATAAACTTTGCTCACAAAACCTATAAGTATAATGTTATATAGAAATTGAAAATTAAATTTGTGCAGGATACAAAGAATTAATGATAGCATTATAAATTGGTCCCATAATTTATATGCTTAATTAATTTTGGTTTTGTATATTCTGTGAACCTGGGAAGACAATTACAGTACTACTATATATAAACTGACATACAGTATCTTGTATCTCTGGTATTAAGCATTTAAAATAGGCGAATCTAGCTACTCTTCTTAACAGGGGTATATACCCAAAATAGTATTATATTAAAACTTCAATCCAAATTGGTTTCTCAGAAAGGCTAACAGAATGGAGAAGCATGAGCTGTTTCTATTAATAAATACCAGTGTCCGATAACCAGCATACAATTCTAGATATTTCCCAAAATGTAGATTTCTTGTTTTTTTTTCTGTTATTGTATTTCTTCCTTGATAGATCCAAATATTTGTCTGGAAGCAAAATAGTAACCTTGAATCCCATGCTAAATTTGATTTCTTTTATTTGAATTCAAATTAATATAGTTAATATTCCAATTTGCTTAATACTTTTCTTTTGCTGCATTCAAAATTACAGTTTGGTAGTTTGTTATGTAAAAGATTTGTGGCTAACCCATCAGTTTGGTCCATATTTACATTTCATATACAAATATATAAAATAAGCTTCTTTAAACATACTGATACTTCTTAGCACTTAATTACAAAATTGCACCATAAATTAGGACTGTGCAAAGTATTAAAAAAAATATTTCATAAAGTATGCTGGTGTGAAGAAAACCTTCTTTCAAAGCATTGGGGTCTCCATGACCTTCAAACTTCAAAAGTTTTCCAAGGTTATCTTCACATGTATTTGCATGCATAGCAGCCTTATTTTGTCAGCAGTTCCAGGTGAAATATTGTCAGGGCATGTACATACATGCAACCTGAAAAATGTCTTGAAGAAAGTATGTGGAGCTTTCCAGGAGATGTGACCACTTCATCAATATAAGAAGGGATGTTTTATTTGTGCTGACACACATTGTGAAGCTTTCCTTTGAATACTTTATATAGCCATAGTATACATCTAAATCCATTTACATTGAATTTAAGTTCATTGAAATTGAACTAAATGTGTATAACACACTTGGAATTGCAAATATATTTTCTTGGACTAAAACTGGCAGCACTTCTGAGTAAGGATATTAGGATAGACAAAAAGCAGCCATGCTTTGAAATAAATTATGTTGAAATCAATGGAATGTACGTCTATGTAAATATGCTTGACAGGAAGATATTAGTGTCATTTTTCATGATCCTCGGGTGAGCAATCATCTGCAATCAGTTTGCATTACTTTCCAGTTCTGACACATCCATTGATATAGTTTGCAGCAAAGACTAAGAATTACTGCTGTAGGCACTGTGTGTTCTGTTGCACCTTAAACTGTTCAAGAATTGGTTTCCTTCCCTTTGCTCCCTTAGAATAAAACAAAGCATTAACTTCAACATCTTTCAAGGGATTGCCTGTTTTTTTATAATTTTTTTTAACCATTGTTCCTCAAATTTGACATCCCATTCTAACTCTTCGAAGTTAATAACACTAATTCCAAGATATTCCCTTTAGGAATTTATAAAAATTGTAAGTATGAAGGACTTAAGCATTTCCCATTTAATTGCTTACAAATTAATTTTTGAACTGGGTTATGCTTCCTTATTCTTATGAAGAGAAGAAAAACATTGGTATCACTTTTTTTAAAAATATTAATTACATTGCAAAATTGTAGATGGTGTTCCAGAGAAAGTGGTCATTTTCAGCTTACTTTTTAAAAACCCCTTTGGTTCTGAATTAGTAAATGAACATAATGGTTTGATTTAGTTTACATATCTCATCTACTTCAGGTCTATCTAGACTAGAAACTTTTTGTCTCTTCTGCTCAGTGAACACAATAATATGAATTTAATGAGTCATAGCAATATGCAAAAGCACCTGAATCCTCAATTCTTTGCTTCTTTAATAAGCCTTGGTATTTAAAGGACGAAGTGAAATAAGATAATATAAAGCTTTTTAAGAGGGCAAAATAAAGGTTAGATATTTTTGAATAAATGTCAAATGTGTGTGTGTGTGTATATATATATAATTTATGGTAGTTTTCTAAAACAATCAGATCTCAAATTCAATTCACACTCAGCTCTCTCTTATAGTGTATTTGTGGGGGGGGGGGCATCCATACACTCACATACATATGCATGCCAGTAGCATTATCAAGAAATAAAATATATGATCAAAAATTGATTTTAAAAAAATGCAAAGAGAGAGAGAGAACTTTTCAAAGTGAAAATGGAGAACATATTTGGACTTCATGACTTCACAGAAAGAAAAAGTGAAAGTCTCCAATAGTAAATGTAAAATTTTATGCACTAAAGTTTATGACTTAACATTAAAAGAGAAGGAATCAATAAGTTGCTAAGAAACCAATGTTCCTGCGTTAACTTATATGGCTTAAAAAATTACGTTTCTTTGTATGGCTTTTTCTGATGCTATATTTAAAATTTTGTCACAAGTTCACTTAGAATTAGTTTCATTTTACAATTCCTTTGAATTATTAAAGCAGTGGTTCTCAACCTTTCTAATGCCGTGACCCCATAATACAGTTCCCCGTGTTGTGGTAACCCCCAATTACTTATACATCACCAGGTGCCAGGGGCGTGGCCAAAGAAAAGGGGAAAAAAATGGCAGACAGCCTTGTTTGGCGATCCCCGTGAAATGGTCGTTCGACCCCAAATGGGGTCCCGACCCACAGGTTGAGAACCACTGTATTAGAGTATTATTTTATACATTTTTATACATATTAAATTCAGTGACTCAGTGGGAAATACTTCTTAGGAGACTTATTTAGGATTCTGTTTTTAGAAAACAAGATTATAATTCTACCATTAATAGGAAGTATGTCAGTGCAATATGTAGTACAAGTTGGTATGTGTTTATTTGGAAATACAGTAATTCCTAAACATAGGCATAACTGCTCCATAAACTAAATTTAGAAGAAAATTCTCCTTGAAGTAAATATTATTAAAATATTTTATTACTTTTTATTATTTTATTTTTACAGGCCAGCTAAACCAAAGAATGTTGAACTAAACCTTAAAGCTTCGAAAAGCCTGGAAAATATGCAAAATGAGCAAGATTCTACAGATAAAGTTAAAATTAACTTCAATATTGCCAATAAAATATCGATGTTTGAAAGCAGACAAAATAATCAAAATCAATCTGCTGATGCTCCTGCTTCAAAAAGAGGTTCCGTATCAAATACATTTGTTGGCAGAGCGAAGTTGAAGTTTGGAAGACAGCCAACTGAAAGTGAACAGACTAACAGAGGAACAAATAAAGGAAACCATCGTCAGAAATTACTGCAAAATGGTACAAAAGTAAAAGAAATCTCTTCAGACGTAAACATTAAGTCACAGGGAACGATTGAGGCAAACGTTACATGTGAGGATGCTAGAAAAAATGAAGAACTTGGAAAAGTTGTTAAATCTCAAGTCAATGAGAATGACAAAGTAGAGGGTAATGAAGTGAATGATTTCACTTCTACAAAAATTGATACAGAATTAGTCAAGGTCAAAGACCTAGATAATGTTTCATCTATATTGCAGAATGAAGAAACAGAAGCAAATAATTGGAGCATGAATGCCACTTCCTTATGTTCTGAAAGTGAAGAGACATTTTCCTTGAGCTCAGATCATTATTTACCCAATAATAACGATAAATCTTTGCTGCAATCTGATCTGACACCCCAAAAATCAGAATTAAACCAGATTGAAAATAAAGACCAAAAGGTGATTAATACAGTTTCGGAAGACAACCAAGAATTTGAACACAGCAACAGTGGGCAAGAAAATCAAAGCAGTGGTTGTAATGTTTCTGAAGGCAGCAGAACTGATGGCGTTTGTGACTCTCCTTCAGATATGGCCAGGTTTACAGAAACACTTAAAAATCTAGACAGTTCTGTTTGTGTACCTCAGAAAAAGAAAAAGCAGAAACTTCCAAAGCCTCCTGCCCCACATTTTGCAATGCCTCCAATTCACGAGGACAATTTAGAGAAAATATTTGACCCTAATATATTTACTGTGGGATTGGGAATAAAGAGAGATAGATCACAAGATCTAACTCCATCTGCCCAGTTAAAATTGCAAAGCTTAGAGACTGAGGCTAGGATTAAACCCAAGCGGGCCTCTGCTGAAAACAGCCTTTTTCTCCAGTCCCTGAAGTTACCCGGTAGAGCAGATTCAGCTCTCATGCAGGAAATGTGTGGGAAAGAGAGCAAGGACAATACAGACGGTGACATCAAGAGATCTCGACTTGAAAACAGCACCATTTTCTCCAGTCTGCTAGCTCCCGTAACTAAAGAAAAAATGTTTACCCCATCTGTAACCACTGTAAACACAATCACAACATCTTTTGCATCTCAGAAGAGTGCCACTTCTCCAGGAATACCTCCTCTAATATTTGATTTAACTCAGAAATCCGAGGTAATGGTTTTATAACTGTGCATGTTATCTGGAATACATTTTATCTGAAATATATTTTATGTGCCATGTTATTGTACGTTATTTTATACATGTATGTTATCTGAAATATATGTTACCTGAAATATATTTCACCTGCAGCCAATCATTGGTTTTATTTTCTGTTTAGCCTCTTTCAGGTTTCAAAGTGCCAAACTATATGGATAAATATTTACAAACCGATGATGCAAAAAAAGAAAGAATTTTACAAATGCCAAATTTTGGAAGCCTTGAAAACAGTTTTTCAAACTGGTTGAAACCTGGTCAGTGTGACTCAAATGAATTCATAGCTATTGAGGTGGGTTGAATGCAATCTATCTAGAAATTTTGAAAAATTTCTGCATAGTGAAGTGAATTTTTGACTTCATGTTTTTATTCTTTCACTTCAGTGAAGTACAGTCGTTTTGAATTTTTAAAAGCAAAACTGAGTTGCTATAAGAATATTGAAAATGACAATTTGGATTGATAAACGGTTTTTCCTTCATTAAACATTCATCTGAAAATGTCATTGCCATTTTCTTGGTATCAAAAAAATCTGGTTTAGCAGTATAGTGTGATTATGCATATCACAATAAAATATCCTAACCTACTCAGGACTGTCATTCTGGGGGGAAAGGTCTTGATAAATTTTTGCTAATCCGTCTGAGAAAAAATGATACTGCCAAGAACAGCTAAAATTGTACCTATACATGGTTAAAAATAAAATATAAGACAAATGTGCAATTATTTATTTATAGATTAGACAGAAGCACAGGTATAATGGGAGCTACTTTGACAATAGTACTGATAAGAAAGATCCTGAAATAATAGTTGACAATAAAGAGAATTATCTGATTGCAAAAAAACAAATAAATGCAGTTTTCAACTACATATGGAAGTTATTTACACTGAAAGCAATGTTGCATAGTCCTACTTTATTTTGGGTAGGACACTATACGAGGATGTAGAGAAATCACAGGTTCAGAGCAAAGCAACAAAGATAATCTATGAGGAGAGACTTAGGGAACAAGGAATGGTTATCCTTGAGAAAAGAAAACTAGTGCATAGGAGGGAGGAACTATTTGATAGTACTATTCAAATATGTGAAGGGTTATGAAACAGAAGGAAGTCAGTACTTACTTTCTATTACCTCAGAGTGCAGAAGTTGGATAATAGATTTAAATTAGAACAGGAATCTCCAACCTTGGCAATTTTAAGACTTGTGGAATTCTGGGAGCTGAAGTGCACAAATCTTAAAGTTGTCAAGGTTGGAGACCCCTGAATTAGAAGATCCATTCTGACTGAATGTTAGAAAAGATTTTCTCACCGTAAGGAGAGTTCAGCTGAGAGTTGTGTTCTGTTTTATTTTAATATTTTAATTTTTGTTCTGATCTGTGACCATACAAAAAAATTGAAGTGAATTGGAGTCAACATAGAAGCAAGAGTGTGTTCTTCATCATTGAATGTGTTCAAGTGGAGATTAGATACCCATTTTTTTCAGGCATGTTTTCATTCATTTTCCTGTACTGCATAGGGGATTGATCTAAACGGCCCCTTCCAAAGCTGCAGTTTTGTGCCTGAATACCAAGATGGAAGATGTCAATATTGTGTCCCTTCCAAGCGAGCTTGGTTCTAGTACCTAGAATCTGACTAACCCTAAAGACAGCCAACAAGCTAAGTCTCTGATGTTGATGTCTAGGATTCAGATTCATCCTGGCATAGACAGATCTTCCAAGTGACTTGGATTCAGTCTGCTACCTGCCTATCAGGCCAAGCCCAAGAACAGCATAGAACAATCCAGCCAAAGTTCAGTTCTTTATTTACTTACACCCAATAGACAGAATCTTGCCAGACTAAATGAATACTACTCTCACCCTAATGGATGTATTCTGATAGATACTAGGGAGTGGCTATCCTAACTCACTATCTTTGATCCAGTTCTGGGCAGTGTTCACTCTTCTCTCTCTCTCTCTCTCTCTCTCTCTCTCACACACACACACACACACACACACACACCTTGGAATGTGTTTCCTCCTCCCTGGGAAATGGCCATTTCACTGTAGTTCAACACACCACCTCCCCTTTCAAAGGCACATCCATCACACTACTTTCCCTTTTAATAGGACTTTGAATTAAACCAGAAAATGGCACAATAATCTGTTTAATTGGCACAGATTAGAATAATATATCCCAATAGTATAAGCCCAGCAATTGCTTAGGGATATGTGTATGAGTGTCTATACATATATGTTGCTCAGGTAGTTAAGATGAGATCCATATTCTCTAAATAAATATAATAGCTTAGACTGGTAAAAGATACTAGTGGCCATAGTGCTGTCACCTGTGCTTTCCATAAGTACTGTCAAGTCCAGAAAAAAATCTGCCTCATGAATTTGAACTTCCATTCCACAATTATCTATATTAATCAATTATTGCACATACCAACCTTTGACAGCAACCTCCCTGACAGTAATAATCACAATCTAATTCCATATCTTTAATCAATATTTAGGACGTATTTAGAAATTATTTTAACTTATAATACATTAAATTAAAAAAGGTCTTTGTACTGATTTTCAGACGTTTTACCCTATCTTCACTGTCCTAACTGTTCCACACAGTGTAGTCAATGGGATGAACTGCATTAATATAAAAAAAATTACTTGCACAGAATAACAGAAGAGATACAGCACATTTAGCTAATAAAGATGTATTCTTAGGGCATAGTTCTCTTTTAACCCTCTGATCAGTCTTGGAAACTTTCAGGAAAAATAGGCCTTTATGGGTAAATTGACATGTTCAGTATACATATCTGCATCTGATCAATGTTTTGTAGGAACAACTTGTCTGATGCGGGAACAGTTATATTTTCAAATATGTAAATTAGGAATAAATCCATGTTAGGTAGGAAGGTTTATTCCATCCTATTGAGAAATGCTAACAATTTTTAAATGTACTGAATGTGAATTTCAGAGGTGAATCCTATGGTCACTGAAATAATCCCAGAGCACATATGTTGTTTTCTGGTATCTTCCAAGGCTAACAACTCTGTGTAAGTTTCTGTACAAGAAACAATCAGTACAAAATCGCCCAGCTCATAGTGGGCTTCTTTTCATTGAGAAATCCCAATCTTGAAAAGCTCCAAAGTTAGGCTTATTGGGAATCAGGCTTGTACATGCCAGGAAGCTCAGAGGATCCCAGCATTCTTTAACACTAAAAATATTTTATAAATAATTCTAAATTTAAGAAAAATTTTAGATCAATTTTTCAGGTGGTCCCAAATATTTCTTTGCACTGCATGAGAAGATATGTTACATACCCATTCCCTCCCAACAAATTATAGCATAGAAAAAGACAAACATCCATACCATGAGTGTCTCCATACTCATGTGTACCAAAGCAGTTTGGATTTGCTGCGGTGCTATGAGGCTGGAGCTCTGAGCTCAGGGTTAGACTGCTGTGAAAATAGAACATATCAATTTCATGCTTGATTTCTTACAGTTTATTCCCCTTTGCTTTCCATAGGCATTTTCAGGGAAAAAACAGAATAAAATTAATCCTAGACCTGGAAAGGTAAGACAACTTTCCTTCATTAATGCTTGTGTTTTATTGTAATTTTCTTGTTGGATTAAATGAGACTGAATTTCTTTTAAAAAAATACAGATCATGATTTACAATAAACCAGATGCTTCCGAAAGTAGTTTTGAAGTTTTTCATGATGTGTTGGATTGCACCTCTTGGAAATTGTCGCCTGTGATTTTAATTAAAGTCATCCGAGGATGGTAAGAACAGAGGTCTCCGGTCTCTTACTTATTTCCTTGAGTTGTGTATCCTGCCATATTGCTGCCTATTCCCTTTCTATGTAAAAGTGGCTTTCTTTATTTCTTCAGCAAATTTTCTGGTTGGCTTCATGCCTGTTTTCTAGCTAAGCTTGACTAAACAAGTTTTCTCTGAAGTGTTTTTAAGACATGTTTTAAAGTGCTGTAACATGTATAATCTAATATTTATAGAACCTTTATTGTTAGCTTTGCTTATATATTCTTGTTTTCTTTCTTTGATGTTTTAAAAGCTTTGCCTATAATTTTTAAAAGTCTTATTTCTGTCAAATGAGTACTAGTTTCTGCCTTGGAAAAAATAACCAGAAATCTAGCTTTAAATACTATTGAATGCTGGACTTTCTTAAAGATTTTTCCTAGACTTCTTAACTGAAACCTGGAGAGAGCTTGTTTTACTGCGTTTATCAAATAATGATCTGTTTTCTATGGCAGAATTGCTCCAACTATCAAAGCCTTAGTAAAGCCAAGGATAGAGAGAATGCAACCAATGAAGTTCAAGGATGTCACAGAAATAAGAATTTTTTATGTAAATCAAAAGAGCTTAGTTTGAAGCAGAAAGACATGTTTGTATCTAGAATTAGATTTTAATTTTTAAAGGGATAGAATTAAAAGAGTTCAAGAATTGTTTTTCATTTTCATTTTAAAATTCATTTCTAAAATCTGCCATCTTCCACAAGATGCTATCAAACTGATGAATAGGGTAAAATGATAAACGCATAATAGAAGTATAGAAATACTTACATGAAGTTTAGCTTCGTAGAAGATTTCAAAAATTTCCATAGCAGCCTATAACTGAGCACTTAATTGTTTTCAATCGCTTTGAACGATTGTTAGTATCTTTCCTTTGTTTTGCCATGATAATATGCTACATGTCTTTTTTCAAACATCTTGCTTGATACATTCATTCTATGTGAAATTCACAAAAGCTAAACAAACATTCCACTGTTTATATTTGCCAGTTGACCAGGTGTTCAGTTATGCTCTGTATAAAAAAGGAGTATAAAAGAGCAATACACATTTCAACTCCTAGTACACATCCCATGAGTTAGTCCTCTTCAGAGTTCCTCCATATTGATGGCTTAAAATTGACATCATTGGGAGATGTAGGGAAATGCTGGCATTGTGGGGGAACTGTAACCTTTTATGTAGTATAACAAGTAAGGTGGTAATGCACCATGGCAAAAGAAATGCTAATGAGCTCCAGCATTATGAGATCACAAGACTGCCATGCTAATTCCAAATTGCACAAGTGGACTCTGTGACATAAACTCCTGTCCATGATTACTGCTAAATTGCTAAAGTAATTAGCAATTACAAATAAATATGGTGACCTTACATAAAATCTAATATATGAGACGCAGTATTATTCTGTCACCTTTCTTTTCGCCTTCTTATAGTATATCCTTTCATTCAGTTCTTTTTTATAGCTTGCTTGTTTTTAATTTACTAACTAACTATGTGGCTTTGGACACAATTGAGGGGCTTATTTTTCACTTTTTTAAAAAAATGGCATTAAAATCTGATTTAAGCTCTGTACTTCTTGCACCTGAGGTTTGGCTTGCTTTGACTTCTGCCTTTATTTGGAATTACTTCTGGATATCTATTTTCTATTTCCCAGCCTATCTTCTTGATCTTCATTCTGATCTCTTGAAAATGGCATCACTCTCCCTCAAGCACTAGCAAGACCTTCTCTCTTAGTGATTGTTGCCTTATGTCAAACAAGTTAATACTCGTATGCTGAAGAAAGTAGGATGTTACTTTTAGTCACCTTCTCACTCAACTGCTTTGTGGTAAATTATATGGGTTTATTGTTACATTTACATAGCAGGATTATATGAGAGGATTTATTCTCAGTTTGTTTCAATACTTGATTATTTTAGTAGTCATGCATATGCACAGTACTACCGTAGTTATACTATGTACATTGATTATTTTTTTACGTACATAAAAGAGTCATTCAGACTATTGCTGCTCTTGTAGATGAGTCATGCTCTATGCATTAATGTCAGGAATACAAACATCTTGGTAGATTTAAGCATATCACTGTGTCCATTTGGAGAAAAAGCACCCACAATCTTAGTTTGTTTATTAGATACATATGTGGAGAAAAGATGGGGTGGACGAAAGAGTTTCATAATATAGAGAATATATAGAAAATTACTATGATTTCTTTTTCAGTCCTAAAAACGAAGCAGAAATATATATGAAGGATATTTGGGTTCTATTTGTCTACTGATAGAACAATTTCTGTCTTTCCCCCCCTCCCCCCACCAGGTACCTCTCATATCTATTATATAATGGACACGCACAGCCTAGGATTGAATTGGGAACCTATGAAGGGATTTGCATGACCTAAGTTCACTAGTTGGAGCTATGGTGGTGCAATGGTTAGAACTCAGTATTGCAGGCTAATTCAGCTCACTGCCAAGAGTTCGATCCTCACCGGCTCAAGGATGACTCAGCCTTCCATTCTTCCAAGTTGCTGAAATGAGATACAGATTGTTGGGGGGCAATATGCTGACACTGGAAACCGCTTAGAGTGGGCTGTAAAGCACCATCAAGCAGTATATAAGTGCTATTGCTAGTTCATCATTGAATGAGCCCCTCATTTAAGTAGAAATATGCACCAATCTTTAACCACCTTTTTGTTACTTTTTATAATAATTCTGCACTAGTATTTTAAAAATCACATTAAGTTTTTTGCTCGAAATTATAAACAGTTGTCAATAGGAATTAGTAGGTATTTGATGCATGCCAATAGTTTTATTTATCTTCTTGTATTATAGTTGGATTCTGTATGAAAAACCAAATTTTGAAGGAGTTTCTATTCCGATGGAAGAAGGAGAATTGGAATTCTCAAATCTTTGGGGGGAAGAAGCATTGGACAATAATGAAGATACGTGCAAAGCTCCTGAGCCTATTGTGATTGGTTCAGTCAGGCATGTAGTAAAGGCAAGTAAGGCGTGAAATTACAACAATCACAATTTGATTTTATTTGTAGTTCTATCCAATGCGGTTCAGGTTTACTCTAGTAAATTATACATAAAAATTATACATAAATCTTGTGTATATGTAATCGTGTGATATTCTTCAGCTAGAACCAAGAGAAATAAGGCAGATAAACCTCTGTGAACAGCTCTGTGTTCTAGGTGATGGGATTTTAAACAAAGCCACAGTGTATACTAACCCATACCTAAATGCTTCTTCTACCTCTGCTGTAAAGATTAAGTGGCACCTCAGTAGTCTTTAAAAAAAAATGTAAGGTTTCCCCTACCAGTCATATCCAACTCTAGGGAACAGTGCTGATTCACAGCCAAACAGCCAGCCTTGTCCAAAGATGCTTCCATGGTCATATGGCCGGCATGACTATATGCCAAAAGCACAAGGAACACTGTTACTTGCCCACCAAAGTGGTACCTATTTATCTACTTGCATTTGCATGCTTTCAAACTGCTATGATGGCAGTTGCTGGGACAAGTAACAGAAGCTCATTCCATCATGCAGTGCTTGGTTTCAAACTACCAACCTTGCAGCTGATAAGCCCATCATCTTAATCAGTTGGCCATCACACCCCTTTAGTCCCTTTGTGGTTGAATAAATATAGGGAATTAAGAGGGAAATTGGAAAGATATAAGATAGACTACATTTATCAGCCATGATAAATGGCATAGACTAATTATATCATTCCATTCTTTTAATTTTCACATGGAGGATTCTATATCCTATCAAAGACCATCTTATTATGGAAAAATTAATTTTCTGAATCACTTTGAAGTGATTTCAATATGTATAGCAAGAGAAACTCCACCAACATTTAGGTACAGAGAAATGCAGATGTATATCTTTTATCATCACTGTAAGATCAGTATTTATGAAATATGCTATTAGTTTGGGATTGGGTAACACAGTGTTGTAATTTAGCAGGGGATATGCTTGTGCATATGTATTGGCATTCACACACATGATTTAATGTGTTTGATTTTGATTCATTTCTAAAATCTGCAAAGTACATATAATTAATAATATGTACTCTGGGGTGGATTACAAATTGTTCCATTTTTAAAAAGGAACAACACAGACCCGGAAAACCAATACAAAAGAACAGAAATGGCAGAGAAAACAAACCTAGAGATGGACCAGGAAAAGAAAGAGAGAGTCAGTAATCATCCTCACCAAAGACTTGGGTGAAGAAGCCCATCTTCAGGCCCTTTCAAAATAAAAATAAAGTGGGGGCCGCTCATATCTTGGAAGGAACCTTATTTCAGAGGATAGATGTCGCTATAGAAAAGATGTGTTTCAGGAATGCTGATAGACCCAGAGCAGACCAACCCGGTCAGATTGACCTGGCCAGGAACACAGGTGGTCCCTCAGATAACCAGGCCCAGTGCTATGTAGGGCTTTATAAGTAGTAACCAGCACCTTGAATTGCATCCAGAAGCACACTGGCAACCAGTGCAGTTTATAAAGCAGAGTGTCACGTGGGCCATACAGAGGCATGCCCATCAATATTTGTTCACTGCATTCTAGATCAACTGAAGCTTCTAGGTGGTCTTGAAGGGCAACCCCATATAAAGCACATTGCAGTAGTCAAGCTGACAGGTGAACAGGGCAAGATGTTTTTAGATGCTATTAGAGATTAGAATTGATAAGGTAAGAGCAATTTGGCTATACCTACTTAATTTAAATTTTATAAATTTTCAGGATTATAGAATTTGCCGAATTGACCTATTTACAGAACCACAAGGATTAGGTTTAGTAAATGCATATTTTGATGATACTGAAGAAATGCGACTTGGTTCTTCTCAGAAGACATGTTCTATCCAAGTGTCTTGGGGCATGTAAGTATGTAAATATGTATATTAGCTGTAGTTATTGGATAACCCTGAATCTGTTACATATCTTATAGCTCACAGTTGTTTTTAGAAGTGATAGTTATTTCAGGAATGATTCATTGATAACAAAACAAAATATAACATATACTGTAGGCAGCTTATTTTGTGATACAATATCTGATAGACATTTTGGTAGTTATTTAATATATCTTTGGTCTTCTTACGAGCATAAATGCATCTAGACTGAAATCTTGGTTGTAGCTATTTCATGCACAAGAATAATTTTTCATTAATGTTTATAAAACTATGCGGAAGTTTGCACTTTACTGAATGAAGAATTGCCTTGGATAAATAGCTCTAGCATCCTGGGTAGTTGCTGAGTACATGTGATCAATTAAAACTTGCTTAGAATCTTTGAGAATCCAATATAAGGAGTATGGGTATAGATATGAAAATTAAAATTGTATAGAGAAATGTGTGTAGAGAAGAAATATTTAGAAGTACAACAGTAACTTTATAGACAGCAGGTCTTATGCCAGATTGAAAGAAAGATAGAATATAAATCTGATAAACTAAAACATGAATAAAAAAAGCTAAAATGAGAGTCTATTGTTGTACTGAGTCTTAGGTTGTATACATTTTCATTATGCAAGGAGTTCTTTATCAGCAATATTTTTCAAAATTGACAGGGATACAAAAAGGTTTATTTGCTGTTGAATTCTCAGACAGGACAAATGTATAATGTTTAATTATACAATAATTGATTCTAATTCCTGTGTCAGCTTCTGAAGATAGCAGTATAAAAAACAAAATTGGGTTTCATCATTCTCCAAAGTGCATTATGAATATGAATCATAGCATTACCGGGTATATTGGGAATGCTTCTTCTGATGGGTGTGGATATGAATGAAGCTACAATACATGTCTTGGCAAAGTATTTATATGCATTTCATTATAGCTATTCATTGACATCAATCTGGCACTTTAAAAACCTGTAACTAAATATAATCTTTCCTTCAACATGAGCTTGACCACAGGAAAAGTTTCTGTAGTTTTCTTAGCAACAACACATAAGTGTGTTTAAAAAAAACAAAAAAACTTTGCAGTCTAGACTACAGTCTTTAGATTTCCTGGTAACCTTCCATTCAAGTGTTAACCAGGCTTTCTCAGATCAGTCAAACTTGGCTAAATGCTATCACTTATTTGGGCTGAAAACATTTACTATTAACTAGTTTTGTAAAATCACATAACAAAAACATTTACTAGTGAAAGTCTAGTTTTTCCTCTCACATTTTTACTTTAGTGTTTACAGAGTGACCCTACCTGTTACCCTTTAAATGCTTCATTTATTTAAATTGTGTGATTTAAATAGAAGTTTGTCTGATTTGATTTTATTATTATATAATAGCACAAGATCCGCTGGATAATATGTAGGCTATAAACAATTTAATGAACAATCTTTGTTTCACTGGTAGGTAAACATGTTTGAATTTCTGTCCGTCCAATCTCTCATCTAGATAATAGCCAGAGGAGACATTCTTAATATCATATATTCTCTGAACATTTTTGAATTTTCCTATAAACACCATACTATTTTTCATTTCTAGATGGCTACTTTATGAAGAACCTGGTTACCAGGGAATCCCTTTAATGTTGGAACCAGGAGAATATCCTGATCTGTCATGCTGGGAGAAAAAAGAGGCATATATTAGGTCTCTGAAGCCCTTGAAAATGGTGAGATAATTAAAACAATACAGGTACTCCTTAGCTTATGACCACAATTGAGCCCATAATTTATGTAGCTAAGTGAGAAATTTGTTAAGTGAATTTTGCCCCATTTTACAACTTTTCTTGCCACATTTGTTAAGTGAATCACTACAGTTGTTAAATTAGTAAACTGGTTGTTAAGTGAATCTGGTTTCCCCATTGACTTTGCTCGTCAGAAGGTTGCAAAAGGTGATCACATGACCCCCTGGATACTGTAACTGTCACAAATACTTGCCAGTTGCCAAGCATCCAAATTTTGATCATGTGACCATGGGGATGCTACAACAGTTGTAACTATGAAAAATGGTCATAAGTCACTTTTTTCAGTGCCGTTGTAACTTCAAACGGTCACTAAACAAACTATTGTAAGTCGAGGTCTACCTGTTTATAAGATACACACACACATACACACAAAATACTGTAACAATGAAATAATAGTTTTAGCTCCATTCAATCATCTGTTCTATTTTTCAAGTTCAAAATAAATATAGTTTTTGAAATTTTGAATTTTGTAAAAATATAATTGGATCAGAAATATTTTTTTCATTGGGAGGTGGCAACTAAGACATTTTATTAAGCTTTTATTTGAGGTCTCACTGTTAAATGTAGTAAATATACATGTGTGTAATTGAAATTTAACTATTGGATCAGTGTTATCAATAGATTTTCTACAGACACATTGGAAAATGCATGGTACTTGAATTGTTCTGCTAACTTAAAACAATCTGAATTATGTAACATTCCAGTAATATTTTCCCATCAATTTTTGTAGGGTGGACGCAAGGTTGAATATCCTAAAAGCCGAAAGGTAAAATAGTTATATACAAATGTATTGTTTATTGAATGTGGGTCATTTATATTTAAACTATAATGAAGTTGTGGTAATCACTTTTTCCAGAAGAGTTTCTATTCATTTACTAATCATTCATGCCACTGATTATCTATGTTATTTATTTATATCCTGACAAATTATGCTTTCTAAGATACCCTTAGATCAATGTTTCTCAATCTCAACAACTTTCAAATGTATGGACTTCAATTCCCCTGTCATCATGTTTGTCTGGGGGAATTCTGGGAGTTAAGTCCACACATCTGAAAGTTAGTGAGATTGAGAAATACTGACTTAGATAATGCCTCCAATCTGTACCTTTAAGTGCAGTATTAGCATCTTTGTTCACCTGAAAAGATGTGAAGGTGTAAGTGTAAAAGAAAAAGAAATATATTTCTCTGGTGGAAGCTGGTTTCAGACCTCTGACTTCATTGGTAAATCATATATTAGCTTTTGGTGACTGAAGAGAAGAGCTATGGGTGAGATGTTGCAGATTTAAATGTTATATTAGTTATGAACAAACATAATGTCTTATATATAATGCTTTTGTCTTTTTGATATCTGTTCTGAATCTGAAATAATAATGTTGGCTGCTGCATACAAGGTTTTTCCGAGGAATTCTGCCCTAATGTATATGAAAACATTTTGAAGTTTCATAAGAAAGCAAATGTCTAACCATAAGCTTTACCTCTACTTTGCTTAAGGTAATTGTTTATGAAAAGCCATTCTTTGAAGGAAAACATATAGAATTGGATTCAGAATTAACAGCTCTTGCCATGGAAGGAAACAGTACTGAAGAATCTGAAGAGCTGGAAAATGAGCTGCTTACATCAATAGGATCCATAAAAGTGAAGGGAGGAATGTAGGTCTAAGGGGGGGGGGAATGATAACATCTCATTTTACATCCCCTGGAATGTACAAGCTGAGAAAAAGCATTGAGTTTGAATGTGATGTTGTGGTTAAGGTGTTGGAGTAGGACCTTCAAGACACAAAAACTCACAGATAATTATTATTAGTAGAAAAAAAAAATGGAGGACTGAGTGCTGTGTACAGGTAGTCTTCAACTTACGACCACAATTGAGCCCAAAATTTCTGTTGCTAAGTGAGACATTTGTTAAGTGAGTTTTGCCCCATTTTATGACCTTTTTTGCTACAGTTGTTAAGTGAATCACCGCAGCTTTTAAGTTAGTAACATGGTTGTTAAGTGAAACTGGCTTCCCTTTGCTTGTCAGAAGGCCGCAAAATACGATCGCTTGACTCTGGGACACTGCAACCGTTATAAATATGAGTCAGTTGCCAAACGTCTGAGTTTTGATCACATGACCATGGGGATGCTGCAATGGTTGTTAAGTCTGAAAAAAGGTCATAAGTTACTTTTTTCAGTGTTTTTAAACTTGGAACAGTCACTAAATGAATGGTTGTAAGTTGAGGCCTACCTGTACATGAGGTGGGATATAAATCTTACAAATATATGATTTAGGAAGATGATAGATGGACCCTGTTCACAGCATGTAGGTTTATGAAAGAATATAATTAAATCAGAATCTACAGCATCAGAATATAACCCAAAAGAAAGGCATGCCATCTGTGTCATTCAGGAACAGTGGATACATATACAGTTGGATCCAGATTAAATGATATTTAAGGTAGGCCCACTGATTTAATGGGATTTAAGCTGGTTATATCGCAAATAATATAGCTGATTGGATCTAATCCAGAAATTAGTGAGCCAGCATTAAAATATTTGTATCACATTAAAGGCATAATAAGTATTTAGAAGAGATTTAGAAAAATCTTTAAAACCCTTTAAGAATCCTAAAATGCAGGACTGTTTGGGAAGTTGAAACTTTATCACTCCATGACTTTCTGGAATTAGAAACTAGATCCTAAAATGCAGCTTAAGAAAACAACATTTTAAAGCCCCTGTGATTTTATTCATAAGTGTTGTGGAAACAGTAGCATAGGACATACCATAACATCTAAAGAAGTTAAAATACAGATAAGTATTTTGACCTTCTGAACAAGTCAGTAAAGCATTTATAATAGTAAAAACCATTCATGTTTTCATTATTTATTTATTTATCCGAGAGCAGTTTTTGAAACTTGTGTTAATATGATGGCAAATAGTGCAGGCCTGGGTGTATTCAAAATACGTTCAAATGAAATGACTGAACTATCATCACTATTAAGTAAACATAAATGCCAGACAATAGATAATGCTAATATAAAAACGAAAGCAATTTATTTTTTTGAAGCTATATGAATCTATTATTATTTTTTCCTACCAGCCTGATTTAAAATTTAGCTAAAATTGAATAAAGCTGGACAGTATAATACTGTTCGTTACAGATGGTAATCTAACCAGAGTTAAAATTTTACCTTGAAATGCTGGGTCTCCTTATATTTAATTTAAAATGTTAGTAAGTTTATTTCATGCTCTCCATTTTTGGTCCTTTTAAGATGACATTTTAACAATCATGCTTATTTTTGAGTTTTCCATTTTTGTTCACTATTTGTAGCTGGGTTGCTTATGAGAAGCCAGAGTTTGAAGGGCACCAGTATTTACTGGAAGAAGGCGAATACCGGGAATGGACGGACTGGGGTGGTTATGATGAACAGTTGCAATCACTACGGCCTGTTCTAGGGGTAAGTTTAAGAATGTATAATCTTGGCATAGACCTAAAGGAGTTCAATGTACCCTTTTCATTGTTTGCAGAACAGGTTTTTTTTCCTTCCTTACATTCTTCCTTCACATTACACTTACGCTTCTTTGCCCAGTTCAGTAAAGATAAGTTGGAGAAAAGTATGTGTGCGAAAGAGTGAGTCATTTGCTGGATCATGAACCGGTTGGATGATTCATTTATCTGAAACTGCATGTTCAGTTGGGGATGAAAATGTGTACAGGTAGTCCTTGACTGTGTGACTGTAATTGAGCCCAATAATTCTGGGGCTAAGCGAGACATTTTTTTAAGTGAGTGTTGTTCCATTTTACCACTTTTGTTATCACCGTTGTTAAGTGAAATCACTGCAGGTGTTAAGTTAGTAACACGGTTGTTCAGTGAATCTGGCTTCCCCATTGACTTTGCTTGTCAGAAGGTCGCAAAAGGGGATCACATGACCCCAGGACACTGCAACCGTCATAAATATGAGTCAGTTGCTAAGCCCCTGAATTTGGATCACCTGACCACGGAGATGCTGAAATGGTGATAAGGGTGAAAAACGGTCATAGGTCAGTGCCGTTGTAACATCAAATGGTCACTAATGAACTGTTATAAATCAAGGACTATCTGTATTTGAAACTGAGGTATAAACCTGAAAAGCAATACTGCATGCTTTCCTGCCTGTTTCCCTCCTGTTCCATTAGGCTGCAGCTTCCAACTCCCCAGATACCATTACCAGAAGTCTTGGTTGCTGGCATGATGTGAACTGTAGTCCAACATATTACTTAATGTGTATCTTCCTGAGCCTCATCCCTGTGGCATTCTAGGTTTCTGAAGGATTTGTTCCATTGCCTGCTTATCTGGGAACTGTCGCTTTGCTGTGTATGATTCTGATGAAATCCCAGGCTGTACAGATTGACGTGCAAGGAACAACTATGTATTTATCATGTATAGCAGAAGGGATAATGATAGCAATTTAAGCTTTCTGCATTCTCTGAAAACAGAGAAACAAGATTGCTAAAACAGCATAGGTCAGTGGTGGCGAACCTATGGCATGGGTGCCAGAGGCGGCACTCAGAGCCCTCTCTGTGGGCATGCGCGCTGTCGCCCCCATCCTAGGCCTTCAGCTGGGTTTTATAAAACCTTTTCGCTTTAGGCCTCTGCTGCAAAAAAAAAAAAAAAGGTTCAATCAATCAGTCAATTTCAACTTCTCGCAGGAAAAAAAAGATCTTGCAAAGTTGGAATTGATTGATTGAACTTTTTAGTCCCACCCAAGTGGGACTAAAAGTCTGCCGTTACCACCACAGCCACGCCCACCCAATGGGCTACACACCCCCAATTGGCCACACCCACCCGGCACCCAATAATGCATAAGTGGGTTTTGGGTTGCAGTTTGGGCACTCAGTCTCTAAAAGGTTCGTCATCACTGGCAGAGGTGAAAATCAGTCAGAACCTGAGGCTAATCTGAAGTCTGAAAAACATGGAAGGAACAGCCGTGTTCCTTCTTCTTGAGGCATGAAAGCATATCCCCACACCAGAATCAAACAGAGGGTTTTTTTTTTCCTTGTTCCTAAATAGGGAAGTGGAACTTTCTCCCATTTCTTTGTATTTATTTCCATTAATGGATCCATCAGCAAACTGTTGAGAGCCAGGACAACAATTCCAATGTAATTATGTGGTGTCACCAACTGGTATAGAAAAGAAGGGGAGGGTTTGCAAGTTTAATGCACTTCCTGCATTAAAAGGCTGAGGAGAGAAATGCCTGTAGCAAAGAATCTGTGCTCGGATGCGTGTTTTAGTCAGCATCCAGATTACCTACAGCACTGAAAGTGCTAAGGCAGCATTTGCTCATGTCATTGAAATTAGTTTTTCCTATGAGGTTGGCTCTTGTTGCTCTTTCACTGTGATTCTTTTGACTACAAGGCAACTTTGTCCTCACAGATTTGGAGCATCAAAGGAAATGTGCCATTAGCAATTGAGTGTACTTGTTTGCAACTTGCTGCTCTCTAGATATGTTGGCTATTGGGCCTGCTAACTAAGAGTTTTGGGCATTGATGTTCCAGTGTATCCAGAAGGCACTGAGTTAGCTGAAGGCTGTTTAAGGGTTAATCTCCTCCTTTAGAGGATTTCTTTTGATTGAACAATTAATCTGCTAAATACCCCCAAACCAGATATTTCTAATATCTGTAAAGAGTGAAGGCAGTTTCTAAGAGAGTGCTAGGGCGTTCTTTCTGTGTTTTTTTAAATCCTCCAATTTTCTTCTTACTGTTGGTTTCCTCTTTACACTGTCCTAGTCTTCCTACCACATCTATAGTATATATCAGGCAACAATAATATGATCAAGTGGGAATTGTTTTTATATGATAAATAGCCAATTTTTTCTTTGTTTCTCTGTTTATCTTCTTTTGGTTTTTCTCTCTTCAGGATCTGATGCATCCTCACATGATAATGTACACTGAAAAAGACTTTGGGACTAAAGGTTCCAGTATAAATGTATTAGGGATTATTTCAAATTTGAAGGATACTGGCTATGGATTAAGGACACAATCCGTAAATGTGATTAGTGGAGTGTAAGTAAGATGATCATTTTAAATGTAATGGTGAATGTTGGCATAGGAGAATAAATACAAGGGCATCAGACATTATATTCATTAGCATTTTGAGTAAAAACTCTTCATATTAAAATGCCAAAGAAAAAAGCTTATGAAACAGGGTTTTTTTTAAAAAAAAATTGTGCAGTTTCTTGGGTGAATTTTAAATGTTATTAGGAAGATGATAGCAGATTAAACTAGAACCATAGGCTCACAGAGTTGAAAGAGGTCATAAAAACAACTGAGTTTACCTCTCTGATCAGTAAAGAAATCTAAATTAAAGCATCTTAAATAGATGGTTCTTCAGCCTCCACTTGAATAAATCCAGTGAAGGGAAGTCCACTATATCTCTGTCCATCGGATGTTTGTAACACTGGTGAACTGTTCTTAGTTCTTTTTTTTTTCTAACCTTCTCTTTGAATCTGTTTCCCTGTAACTTAAACCCATTATTTCTTCTGGAGCAGAGTTCTTGTACTTTGGAGCAAGAGAAAATAAGTTCTATATAACATTCTTTCAATTATTTGAAGTACAATTATTCCGTTCTCAGGCATTTTTCTCAAAACTAAATATGCCCACCTTCCTTAATCTCTCTTTAGTGAACTTGTTTCTAGTCCCATGATAATTTCAATTACCCTTCTTTGAATTTGTTTAATTTTTTGAATCCTTTTAAAACATGGTGCCCAGAATTCAGCACATAAATGGAGGCAATATCTCAACTATGGAGAAGAGTCTGGATTTATCCATTTCCATAATTTGAAAATTATATAACTGCTAACACAGACTAAAACTAGTTTGCCTTTTTTTTACAGCCAGATCACATTGTTGACTCATATTCAATTTAAAATCAGTTAAGTGTTCCAAGGTTTTTTTTAAGACTGTTTGATTAATATGTTGGTGATCCATGGCCCCTAAGTAAAAACTTGCAGTGCTCTGAAATTTGTCATGTAAAGTACATTTTTGCAATTATATAAGCGTAATAGGTTACAAACCTACTTACTGCTTTCTTCCTTTCAGAGACAAAAGATGTGCTGTACTATTCTGCCACTTTACATAAATATTTAATTCCCTCCAGGAATACATTTGTCATAGTTTGGCAACTCTGTCAAAGCACTTTCAAGATGAAGTGCCTGACAACATAAACAAATGTCCTTGTCCTGATTCAGGAGTGGTGATTAACACAGGATCCTAATCCTACTCAGATTAGTCTTCTACACTACACTGAGTTCCCATGAATGAAATCAAAGCAAGAGAAGAACTTGTATTCGTCAATGACATCTATTTTTGTGGTGTTCCTATGGAATATATCCCAACTCTGAATTTTCTGGTTTTCCCCCAATTTTTCCTTTAAAGGTTTATACTGCGCACCATTTGATCATAGAATTATTACTGACTTCAGTGGAACTCACTTTGGGCAGCTCTCTATGATTTAAAAAAAAAAACCCAGCTTCTCAAATTCCATCAAAATACTGTAATTTAAACAACAAATAGATCATTCTAAAATCAAAGATGCCTCTGTCCTTTTAGGTATGAACAGAAACTGAAGCATAAAGAAGGGATCAGGTCAACTATAATTTGAAGAAAGTGCTATTCTAGTTTCTTCATGTTTGCTTTCTCTTAACTATATACAAACCATGAAATTTAAGTAGAGAAAAAAAACTCATTTGAAATTTATCAGGACGTAAAGTGGGTCATAATTAAAATTAGCAAACAAGCCGTATTATTTTACTTAACAAACTACGCCCTGTCTGGCAAGATGGTGATATTTGGCTTTCTCTTTGCAAACCAACTTCACTGGGAGACCCTGAGTATGTCTTTTCATTTAAAACCATACCTACTATTTAAATAGTTTAAGGGACACTCAAAATGTTTTTTCCTGCAATAGCAGCTCCACAAGCAGGATACAGTACTGTGCTTGTTCTTGTTGAGAAAGCACAAATTAAGGGAATAATATGTAAAACTAAAAAGGAGGTAAATTATAGTTGGCACAAATCATGCAATGCATTTTCATGATTTCTTACTGCAGAGTGAAGAAATTATTCTTTATTTAGACTCTCAGTATAAAACCATATTAATGTTTTCAATTATGCATTAATGAATAGGAATAGTAGCAGAGTCTGAACAGAGCAGTTTCCTACAAATTCTGCATGGAAATAGACATTGAGTCCTTCTTTTAAAAAATGGAATTATTTGTTACGTGGACTGAAGAAAATTATGTACAGAGGCAAATCATGCTCCTTTAAAAAAAATCTATGTATACAACTATGTTATTCTGTTCTTTTATTGACTATATATATATCTATATATATATATATATACATAAATATAAATGTAAAGTTCCATTAAAATCCTAGTATAATATAATTGACATTTTTTCAGGTGGGTGGCTTATGAAAACCCTGACTTTACAGGAGAACAATATATTCTTGATAAAGGAATGTACCCCAGCTATGAAGCTTGGGGGGCAAAGAATAATAAGATATCTTCAGTTCAACCCATACTTTTGGTAAGAAGATTCCTCTTTTTAGAAAAACATACAAGTTTTTAAAATGTATCTCCTCATTCATAATTTTTTTCTGGTGTCATTTTCTTATTCTTTGTTCTCTATATTTTTTAGGATATCATCAATGATCATGTGGGAAAATTTAAGGTAAAAATAACCAAATATTTTGCACAGGCAATATGGAATGGAAGCCAAGTCAGAAGTATAGCGACTTTAAAAAAGTGAAGAATTGGGATATGGGGAGAGTTGCTGATAGAATAGTTTGCAGAGTATAAACATAATCCAGGAAGGAACAGCAAAAAAAAAAAAAAAAAGACCATATCTGAATCAAGAGAGAGAAGATGGATTATGTCTGGATGTATTGTTAATCTATATGATCTGTGTTACCTTTAAAGGTCCAGTTATTTTCAGAACCAGAGTTCCAAGGCAGCAGTCAAATACTTGAGAAAGATGTTTCTCAAATTGTGGAATTTCCTGCTAAATCTTCAAAGGTATTATCTGGCAGGTGAGTGAAAAGTTACTTTGAAGTGCTCTAGTCCAGGGCTTTTCAACCGGTGGTATGCAGCCTTGCCCAGCCAAGTGTAGTGGGGGAGGGAACGAGCCAGCATAGGAAAGGATTTCCCATGAGAGAGTCCTCTGGAGCTGCAGAGTGGCTGGGGCAAGGCAAAGGCCCCAGGCTCACTTCTGGCTCACCTGGAAGAGAAAGGAAGAGGGAAGGGTGAAGACAGGAGAGGCTATAAAACAGACATGTCAAACTCACGACGTCATGTGACGTCGCACAACATATCGGCACTGTTTTGCCATTGCCGGCAATGGGGTGGGTGCAGCTTCTACGTGACATGTCTGGCCCGTGGGGTGGCAGTTTGACACCCCTGCTATAAAAGGAAGCAGTTTGGGCGGGAGAGGGAGAGAGAAATAAAGCAGCAGCCTTGGGAGGAGGCAGAGTCAGCTCTATCTGCACCAAAAGGAAAGAAGAAAAAGGAGGGTGGGGGGAGAGGAGAGGAGATCAAGCCAGCTGGCCATGAGCTGATTTACAACTGCTGTGGCAACCACCTGTGCTGGCAGCAGCAACAGGCAAGAAATGCAGCGGGGGAGAGGTCGCCCTCCAAGAGGAATGAAAAAAGGCAGCTTTTGTGACTTTGAAGTTCTGGGATTTGTGCAATGTGGGCTTTGTGTTCTTAAGGAGTCTTTGGCAATTTCTATTTGGCTGATGTCTGGTGTTAGCTTCTATTGCTCTGCTGTTGTTAGCTGTAAGTTTTGCTGCAAGGGATTTTGAAGTATTTTTCTTCTGAATGGATTTTGCCTGTAGTATTCCTTTACTTATGAATGGAGCCATTTGGGGAAACTGCCTTAGCCTGCAGCCAGTATTTATTTACATTTTTTTTTCTTCCTTAAGTGCAGGCTGTGCTCCTTAACTTTCCTTTCTAGCCAGTAGGTAATCCTTAAAGGAGAATGTACCTTTTTAAGCTAGTTCCCTCAATGGCTTCTCTTTTCTGTCTCTAGAGGTTTTTCCTTGTTTGATGAATATATGGAAGAGAGAAAATGGGGGGGGTCAAATTTTTCCTTCAGAAGGAGATGGGAATGAGAAAGAGGGAGGCAGGGAGGGAGGGAGGGAGGGAAGGAAATCCCGCCTTAGCACTTGGCCACCAGCAGCCCTGCCATTGACTTTGCTTGTCAAAAGGTTGCAAAAGGTGATCACATGACCCTGGGACACTGACCATCATAAATATGAATCAGTTGCCAAGCATCCAAATATAAATCACATGACCCTGGGCATGCTGCAATGGTCATAAGTGTGAAAAATGGTCATAAATCATGTAAGTGCAATTGCAACTTTGAACAAGGTTTTTTGGGGGGGGTTGGTCATCAAGTTTTGACACCTTGTTAGGTGGTACTCAAATATTGTCATATCGTAAAAGTGGTACAGTTGGTGAAAAGGTTGAAAAGCTCTGTTCTAGTCAACAAGCTATTATGGAAGCACATTTTTGAAAGAGGCATAAAGGGAAGTTATCTAGGCCGGGCTGGATGGATACATACTTTTATGCTGATGCAGGAAACCACTCCAAATCACGGGGTGTTTATGGGCAACCACAACTATATTGAGTTTCCTGTATTTTTTTGTTTTTAATGTTAAAATATACCTAAGATGAATGACAGAGGGATGAGTCGAAAAACACATTGAAAGATGTTTTAATCAACACTGTTTCCCATAGAAATAAATAAGACTTACTAGTGCCTTGCATTTGAAGGGAGAAATGTGATTCAGAGGACTTGTCAGTAACACTTAAACCATCTTCTTTCCTAAAGATTCTAAGACGGCAGCTATTTTAAGGGTGCTCCTGACTATATTTCTTTCATCAGATCCAAAGCATTTGCCCTGCTCTGACGTTATCTGTTTGAATTATTTCTTTTACATTTTAGAAAGTGTTTCTGGATTCTCTTTTAATTAAGTACAAAAAGGGAAACGGCTGACGATTTTGTAAATTGTACCATTTCATATTGCTGTTCTTAAAACTCTGATTTCTGCCCCTCGTCTTCACCAAAGAAATAATAGAATAGAAATAATGAATAGAAATACTAAATAGTTGCTGCATTTGGCCCAGCACTCTTGTCAGCAAGTTTTCAATCTTGAAATTATTAAAAATCTATCTTATGTTCTTACATTTTTTCTTGTAGTTGGATCGCATACGATAAAGAAAATTATTCTGGGAATCAGTATGTGTTAGAAGAAGGAGCCTATCCTGATCTGTCTGCAATGGGTTGCCTACCCCAAACATGCTTGAAGTCTTTACAAGTTATAAATATTGTAAGTTATAAAAAGGAGTTTTATAGCCAAGTAGGTTAGAAAAGGGTGAGGGTTCAAAATATATGTCAATGATTTACAGTATGTGAGGCACAGCAGTGAGAGCATGTGAGTTATAATCCTAAGTAATAACATATTTTATTCTGCATACTTTTAAGTATTTACAGATTGTTAATTTGTTTAGAAAGTTATTATTCTATAACTCCATTAGTCAACACAATTTTAAAAAATAATAGTTAATTCTTTGATAACCCAGTCTTCTTTTTCAGAGTTGACTTTGCAACTAAAATGTGATCTGTTTTTTAATATATGCCCCCCAGAATCTTTTAGGATGATGTGGCTTGTAAATAGTACAAAAACAAAAATAGAAATGTAAAACAAAAATGTATCTCACCTGTCTCAGTGGCTTGAAGTATTTTTCACTCTGGAGCAGGGGTCTTCAAACTTGGCCCTTTTATGACATGTGGACTTCAACTCCTAGAATTCCTCAGCCAGGCATGCTGGCTGAGAAATTCTGGGAGTTGAAGTCCGTAAGTCATAAAAGGTCCAAGTTTGAAGACCCCTGCTCTAGACCACTCAGTTTCTAGTACTGGAGTTGAATTAAAAGCAAAGCAGCTTCAAGTGAAAATATGCAATGAGTTCAATAGAGAAGAGGAGAAAGTTCTTTTCTGCTAAGTCATCTTTGAGTACAGAAATAGAAACCAAACTTCCATCTTTATATTATCAGGCTAGAGGCATCATATGCCTATAGCTATATCTATGCCAAGGATCTTCAAACTTGGCCCTTTTATGACTTGTGGACTTTAACTCCCAAAATTCCTCAGCCAGCGTGCCTGGCTGAGGAATTCTGGGAATTGAAGTCCACAAGTCATAAAAGGGCCAAGTTTGAAGACCCCTGATCTACGCCTTCCTGGGATGTATGTGTATGAGATAAAACTAGAGCAAAAGATTTCCCTGGATGTTGCAGCATACTTGACACGACTGCGTTCATTATGTAGCACAACATGAGAAGACATCACTAAGTTGGACTCCACAATGCCATAATGTTTTCTTGGTTGCAGTATGTTACTAATTGGCTGAAATAATACCGGAAAGAAAAACAAAGAGGTTTTACAAAATAGGGAGAAAAAGATAATTGTGTGGGTATTAACTGCGATGATAAACATGGGCTGGAATTTCAACATGTTTACGCCCCTCAGTTTTTCTTAAATGAAAGCTTAAGTAGCTGAATAGATAATCCTACTTGAAGAGTATATTAATTTGTCCCTGAAGAATCCAAACAAATCTGTTTTGAATTTGAAAAAAGGTTGTACCCTTTTGAACAGAATAATCTCCACTGCAAAGCAAATGTTACTTTTAACATTAGGGTAACTTGAACTTGTACTAAAGGGTACACTTTTTTTTTTGCTAAATGATTCAGGATATAAAATTATTTTTTCACACAACAATGCATCGGGTATTTATTGTAGAATTAAATGGAAGTGTAGATAAAGTAAGGTTATGTATTCCACTTTTTATCTGATTATTAAACAGAATAAAACTATTTGTACACTTGATGTAAATTAACAAAATGAAAAAAGAAGTCTATTTTACATGGTTCAGGATGACAGATACTTGCTGCAGAAAGTCAATTATATAATGCATAAAACTAGCTCCTTGCAAATGAACTTTCAGTGAATCAGTAAAGTCCACTAAGAATCACCAAGTCCGAGAAATCTGAAGAGCACTGATTCATAGAAGGCTGGAAGTCTTTGTTTGGAAAATTATATGGTTTTATTAGTAATTCTTCCTCAGAGAAAGCAAGTCTTTTGGAATTCTAACATTGTGGTACTAGCAATAAAGAACTGTAAATATTCCAGATGCCGACAGTTTGCAAGGGAATTCTGGAAACTCAGCTATTGCTGAATCATGAAAATGTCAGCCAAGAATGAAAGGTGTGGTTGTAGATAATCACTTTGCTTCTCCTCCTTGTTTTCCTCCCACACCTGGAATAACTTTTCAATGAGTAAAGTCCTTTATTCTAGACTTTGCCATCTAGACAGTTTTATATGGTGGAATTATTTGAAAAGATAGATATTTTACTTAAATAAATTATTTAGGAGAACATAAAACTTTGAAGATGTCGATTTATTCCTCGGGACTGAACAATTCCCAATAGATGAAGTGGGAAAAGATATAACGTGTTTATTCTATTCAAAATGTATTTTTTTTTCAGTTTGGGAAGAAAAATCGCCCACAGTGTTTCATGTTTATATCATTTTTTATATCTAGAATATTAACACTATAATTCCCTGCTGTCAAAACAATAGCTTAAGACCTCCCTTTTTTAAACAACAGGAACTTTCTGAGCCAGTTATAACCCTTTTTGAAAAAGAAAACTTCAGAGGAAAGAAATTTGAATTCATTACAGAAATAGTAAATTTCGAATTTCTTGGCTACAATCCTCATATTGCTTCAGTAGAAGTCCAGGGTGGCATGTAAGTTACAGTTTTAACTTGAACATTTATTATTTGTAGAATTTAAATACGATTTCCTATAACGCTTGCTTTAATATATCATTCCAGTATCTATATGAAAGCATATATACTTGTCTTTTTGTCAACCTAGGCACAGACAATTGACAATTACTGGTTTCAGATTTACCCAGGGAACTAAGCCAAACAATTTTTTTCTTAGATGTTTATATTACAGAAAATAGCAAAATCATGTTGGTATTTTTAATATAATATGCCAGAAAAATAATACTTAATTTCACACAATTGATAAGATTTTTGTCACAGATTTGCTAGAGGTGGATATTATGTTCCACTCTCCACCATGCAGGTTATGCCATTTTAAAAAAAAGTTAAACATAGTTTAGTTGTATATTCGAATGAAGAAAAGTATCTCCATCTTGCTTCCTTAAGGTAGAAACATCACCATTAAAACTCCTTGAATTAATAGAACAGAAAAAGGTCAATAGACTTTTGTATGCATTCTCAAAATCTATTCTAGCAGCTTCTGGAAGTCTACATAACTAATTTGGGGAATCAGAGATTGCAGGAGGAAAAATCTGCTCACCCATCATTGGATTTAGCTCGTTCTTAATAAATGCATTGATTTTTAAGCCAATCTCAAATCTTAACCTTAAACCATGCTTCAAGAATTCAGATGTAATAGTTATTTAGGTGTTAATATGTACTCCTACAGATCCTCTGGAAATTAATACAATGAATCAGTATAAAACTATATTATTCTACAAATGAGGGAGGGCTAAACAAAGAGAGGCTCCTATTTCTTGATGACATCACCTTGTTTTCTAAGAGCCTATTAAACATTGTGGCATTATCAGATTTAAACATGTGAAATGGCTTTGTTAGATTCAAACATGTGAAATCATTATTGAATATAAAATAGACATAAAACAGACTTTGGAAGATCTCTTATAGAAGGACATGGGAAATATACTGACAAGTATAATGATATACTTGAAATTGATTCTAAAATATACCTGTAATAGATAACTACAGGTAGTCCTCGAGTTACGAGTGTAATGGAGCCTGCACATTCCACTCGTAACTCGGAAACTCATAGAATGAATCTTGTATCTCGAATGAGATCACTCCCTGCTCGTTAAGACGTACACGGCTCATTAAGTGTACATGAGGTATCTGAGGGTGGGGAAGGCCATTGGGGGCCTAGTGATGGAACAGGCTCCCCAGGCCTCCCCGACCCACTAAGATACCTCGTGCTTCTCCCTCCCTTCTTGCCACACCGGACTCACTTACCTTGAAAAGATCTGTCCTGTCTGCCACGAGTCCTGCTTTTGAGGGACAGGAGAGTAGATGGAAGCCCCTGGGTGCCATAATATCGTGTGAGTTCAGGCACTGATCCTCTTTCGCAGAGAATGGGTGCCTGAATTCTCACGCTGTTTGGTGCCTCCCCCCAACTCAGGAGCCATGCGGCTAACACCCCTGGAACAGAGATCGGCGGGGCTTCAGGATGCCTCCAGAGGTTGGATCCAGGCCTCGGAGGGTTCTTACTAGCCATTTGCGCCAGGAACGGAGGTTGGGGGAGAGGGCTTCTGCATGCCTCCAGAGGTTGGATCCAACCTCCAGAAGCTCCTTTCTGGGCACAAACAGCTTGGAGCAGTTCTCCGAGGGCTGGATCCAACCTCCAGAGGCACTCAGAAGCCCCCCCCCAACCTCCATTCCTGGCGCAAACAGCTTGTAAGAACCCTCCAAGGGCTGGATCCAACCTCCAGAGGCATTCAGAAGCCCCCCCCCACTTCCATTCCTGGCGCAAACAGCTTGGAAGACCCCTTCGAGGCTTGGATCCAACCTCCGGAACTCCTTTTTGGGTGGCAATAGCTTGGAGCAGTCCTTCAAGGGCTGGATCCAGCCTCCGGAGCCAAGCAGAAGCCTCCCCTATTCTCCTTTCCAGGCCGCTTAACAGAGGCCTCTGAGGCTCTGGGGACAACAGAGTCACTTTCTCCCCCAGCGCAGCGAGCTCCACAGGCTAGACGCAGGTGTGAGAGACCTGGCCTTCTCCCTCAGTTGAAGGCTTCAGGCTTGCTGTCAGGCAGAAAGGAGTTGGGGGCAGGAGAAGGAGACAGGCACCTTTCGCATAGAGAATGAAATTTTCTGAGGTCCGTGATTTGGCGCAACTTCACACGGAGATCACAGACTCCAGAAATTTCCATTCTCAGCACAAAAAACATTTCCAAGCTGACTTCCTCTCCCTCAACGGGAAAGAAACCGCAGCAAAAAGAATTTTTGCAAGGTAAGTGAGTCCGGCATGGCAGGAAGGGAGGGGGAAGCAGTTGTGAGGAGTGGGGGGGAATAGGGTAAATGTTGCAAAGCCACTGAAGTCACTTGTAAGGGCAAATGACTGCCGTGGTGCTGCAATATTTGTAATTTTTGGGACTTATTCATAAACACTAGGGGGCGCTCATCACATAACTTCGAATGAGCGTTAAGTGAACGCTCATAACTTGGGGATGAGCTGTATAAAGCTTCATGCTATTACGAACTTTTTAAAAAGGGATATTTTAGCAAAAGCATGATTTTACAGATATAATTACTAGAGATTTTTTTCAGATGGATTATTTATGAACATCATAATTATAAAGGCCGTCAAATTTTACTAACGCCTAAAAAAATATCAAACTGGAAAGAGACAAGTGGCTACCACAAAATTGGTTCTCTACGACCTTTACTGCAGGTAAGAGAGTTACTACAGCCCATTTTTTGATATCAAAGGTTGTTATGAAGTTTTTTTTATCGTTCTATCATTATTCAACTTCTCTTCCAGCATTGTTTCTTTGTCTTAATATTCCAACTGAGTACCGTTTGAATCATATGATAAAAATCATGCGATTTTTATCTTCTATGAATATGATGAGCTGCAGAAAGATCTGTGGTCTTTGGAATTTTTAAATGGTGGTTTTCATTCTACCATCCAGTTTTGTTCAAAATTACATCTCTGAATCAAAAAGTAAGCATATTGCCTTTCACATGTAACACTGAATAAAATCACTAGTGAATCTATTCAGTATTTCACACCAATAAATATTATTCCACTTCTCATTTTAAGGTTTTAGAAATATCTTTTATTATTGATACTGAATGCTGAAATCACACATTTCTTGTTCTCAGTGAATTTTTTTAAAATTTGGAAATTAGGATTTAGTTCAGTTTTCCAATTTTGGGTAGTACATTTTAAACATATTGCCATGTTCTTCTCTTGCTCCAAAAAATATTAATAGGTATGATTATTTGCTTAAAATGTCTCAACTATTTAATAGTTTTCATTTTACTTCCTTACGGAAAACCTAAATACTTAACATGAAAGTCTTCTTCATAAAAGTTATTTAGACATCAATTTCCTATGTGGGAAAGATCATATTTTCAATGTGTATATCAGGGGTAGTCAACCTTGGCTCTTTTATGACTCGTGGACTTCAACTCCCAGAATTCCTGAGCCAGCACAGCTGGCTCAGGAATTCTGGGAGTTGAAATCCACGAGTCATAAAAGAGCCAAGGTTGACTACCCCTGGTGTATATTATCAGTCAAGTCTCAGGAATATATTCTGTTAATCTGCATGTGGTTTCTAATATGAAATAAGATAAAAATGTACAGTAAAATTAATATTCAAAATTAGTTACAAATGTGTACATATATTTTAGTTATGTTTTCTTTAATAATATTAACGTTAGTTTAAAAGAAAAGGTGGAATGCTAAATCTTGAAGGTGTTTTATTATTGTTAAAGAAAACTAGTTACATTACAGAAACAAGTGTACTTCAGACTCAGAAACAAAGACACCGGAAAGTTCATGGCAGCTGATGGAAATATAGATGACTTGAGTCTTCTGAGGATACAAGCTGTGGAAGACAATAAATCTGGAGAGCAGATCTGGGTTTATCAAGATGGATTCATCAAGTATAGGGTAAAGTTCTATATGAAACATGTCTTGCTATAGAATACAATTCAGCATATTTGACAGACTTTCCACAAGACAAACAGAAAACAGGTATTGCTTCCCCACAGGAAAAAAGTAATTGAAAGAAATCCACCCTGTTTCTCTTTTTGTTTATTTACTTAATAAATACAGCCTATGAGCAACAAGCCTCTTTTTATGATTCTTCAGCTATTTCTATCATTAGTTTCCATTAGTTACAGTTTCCTCTTCCTATTAATTATGGCTATAACCAGTCCTTAGCAGGATTGGGACCTAGGCCATTCTCACAGTGCCTCCAGATGATGCCTCTCTTTTACCAGGCTAAAAGATGCAATCTGCATGGCATGGCATTGCTGCCAACCACCCTTCCTTCTAGATATACTTAATCCAGCAGAGTTGCAGTTGGAGAGGCTAAGTTGGCAGCAGCTGGGTTGGTTCGCCTGTAAAAGTGTTACCTGCTGGGTAAGCAAATAGGGTAGGAAATGAAAAGTGGCAGAGATTTGCAGGCGATCCCTGTAGGGCTTGGCAGTGCCAAAGTAATTATCTCAGAAGACTTGGTCATGACCCAAGGGCCTTGGTGCCTGTCTCAGTATGCTTGGGTGCTGCTAATGCCCAATCTACTAGTCTGTTGTTTTCTTGTAAAATAGGATATTATTCTACTTGGGTGGTTCCTAAAATTAAAAACACCAAAAAATGGACTATATGTTTCTCCCTTCATTAATGTATTTGTTTATGCTGTATTACTTAGCAGTTGAATCTTAGACTCACCCCTCTTTTCTTGAATATTTGTCTTCAAGCACTATCAAGCTGATTAAAAAAATATGAGTCAAGGTCATATTTTTCACAACACTGCACGTATTTTCAGGAATTAGCTAGGAACAAGGAAGAGGAGACTGTTAGATTATTATTTATTTTGCCTTGTCTTCAGTTACATTGATTAGGGTTTTGAGCTTTTCAGAAAGGCAAATTCTATACGTCTGCTATTGCTGACCCATAGCAGTTAACAGTGAAAGAGAATTGTCTGTAAAATTGTAAAAAACAGCTTTTGAGAGTAGAACTAATTGTTCAGTTACTAATTTATTTATCTAGTTATTTGTCGTCAGACGCCAAAACCACTTGAACTACTTGATTCCCAGTTCTTCAGAACACCGTTTGCACTTCTTGAATCAAATTAAAAACTTCCATCATACATCGAGGCTTTCTATTTAATTGCCCATCAGTTAAATCTGACCAATTGATCTAGGAGCTGATTTGCAGTCTTCATGTTTAACAATTTACAGACTTGTTAACATCAAAAAATCCAGTGAAGACAGCCAAGTGACAAGCTCTGTATCGATCTCTTATTTACAGTTGTGTAATATCTCCCAAAGCATCCTTCCAAAGGGAGAGATTTCTCAACTCTCCTTCTGTGAACCTGTCCCAGTGGTAAAAGGGTTCCTCCTTTATAAGAGCATGTTTGGACAGGGGAAGACGTACGTAAGCTGTAGCTTACAACAGACTAAAAAAGTGAAGGTGTTAATTTTAATGCCCCACCTAAAAGCAACATTGAAAGGGTTTTCGGTATTATCCTTTCTGATATTTGGTAACATTTGTCACATGGCTTTGATTTCTCTACATTTGAGCATATTCTTGCTGGAATTCTTGTAACCGGTCCTTAGCAGGATTGGGAAGAAGCCATTCATTCCTTGGTGATGAAGTACAACCTCACAGAATCTCCTATTAAAAGGAGGCCACAGGTTTTTCAATAGAGTAGGCCTTATTATAGTTATAGTAGCTCCAAAAGTTGTATATGTTTAAACAGAAGCTAAGGCCTGTTGCTTACTTGCAATTTAATGATGCTAAGCAGCTTGAATTGGTGAGAAAATAATTTATATGAACTGAATTATAAATGTGATACGTTGTATCTTGAATTTCAAGTAACTGGGTAATTTTGTTTTTAAAATATTGTGAATGTTTGCAGCATTTCTACAAAGACATTCTTTATTTAAGTAACGAAGCTGAAATCTTTAAACACACATATTGGGAATCATTTTGGCATGAATAAATTTCCAAGTAGTAAATAGAAATATCTGCTAATAAAGGAGAATATTTGTAGCTCAGGGTTAACATGAGGGGTCCTTGATGGTCTCTGATGGTCCTTGTTTTTTTTGCAGACTTTCATTATCCAAACTAGGTAACATCATCAGTGCTTGTCAGGGCTATCAGGTCTAGCACTGTAGATATTACCTAGTTTGGGTAATGAAACATTTGGAAGAAAACAACTAAGTTCAGAGAGCACCAAGGACCTTTCAGACATACCGTATTTTCCAGCGTATAAGACGACTTTCCAAACCCTGAAAATCTTCTCAAAAGTTGGGGGTCGTCTTATATGCCCAGTCGTCTTATACGCCAGAATATACGGTAACTGTTTTTTATCCAAGCATGTGACCAATTACTTATGTGATAGTGTGAACTGGGCTCTAATTGACGCTGTTTCCTTGCACAGGGGTCAGAAGATCTCTGCTTAATGATTGTAGGAAATTTGATCACCCCTGGTACAAAGCTGGGCCTGGCCCTTCAGCAGAATGACGAAAAGCAAAACTGGAGTTTTAATTCTAATGGCAAGATTTACAGCAAAATGAAACCACATTTAGCATTAGATATTAAAGGTAAGAACTTTTTAGTGACATGGCATGAACTTTGTTTAACGAAAAGTAATTTTCATATGGTAAATGCAAAAATAAGGTCCTCATTTTAACTCACGTAACAAGTATGATAAAGTTCCATTTATAATTGATTGTTCAAATAATAATAGCAGAGTAATTAGAATAATTCAGTCACCTTGAATTATTTATAAATAATGAATTTGTATGAATATGAATAATATGAATTATTATTATTAATTTACAAACTGGAGTAATTTTTTTTAAAATCAGCAATTACAAAAATAAAAATAAAACCATAATGACCCCAAAGGAAAAAAACACACCCAGTGCTTAACTAAAGGGGTGTTTAATTAGTATCTTTTGAAATCCAAGAGAGTGTTCTAAAATAAGGGACACTATTGCTTTTTTGTTGACTTTCTGACTTGATTGTACATAATTGTAATGAAGAAGCGGTTTAAAGAGGCAGCTTTTGAACCCTTATACCTAATGCAAACTGATGAAGTGTTCATTTTGTAGAGTATTTCCAAGTAAAATGAATGTGAGGAATCAAGTAATAATCCTGTAACCATAATTTACATGAGATCTCTCAGAAAAAAAACTCTTCCAAAACAATACCTATCCCTAGAGGACAACAAGTTTATCTTATAGCAAGTCTGATTAAGCTCTGAACATTGGAATAGATGTGAACGTACAAAAATCACTATGTGATTCAGCAATAAATATAGGATGCACTATTTGTATCGAAGTCCTGTCTACATTGCTGTTTTGGTTATCAATCTAAAAAAACATGGTATGTAGTGACTCCTCAAAGTTTAAAGGACACGCCTTAATTGGGACATAAATTCCTATCCCAATGTACAACTTTATACATTACTTTCATAATGTAACTGTGCCCTCTGGAGGACACAAGAGATAACAATAAGTTATATCTATTCATAACAAATCCATCAGTTTCATGGATTTTAGGCCCAGGTGGGTTTGTAAGAAAAATGTTTTCAGATCATAAATAATTAAAACTGGCAAATATTTGTCAGTTCAACCCAGTGGTGGGATTCAAATGTGGTTCTCTGTGGATGCTGCTTCCGGAAGTCCATTCTGGGCCTGGGCAACAAAAAAATTAGCTACCGCTTCTGCCAAAGTGGTGCAAACTGGCTGAATCCACCATTGGTTCAACCATGATTTGAGGTGCATAATCTAGAAAAGTTACAAAGTTAGCTTGATGAAGCTGAAGACATTGGAGATCTGGCCAAAGGTTTTAATAAGAAACTGCCGAAGTACCACTATATCCAGCTTATGATCCATGAGAGAAGATAGACAGAATATTTAATTTAAAAAAAGGTATACCCCAAAATTAGTTACAAAATAATATTTTATATACACGCAATTCCCGTAGTTCTTTTGGTCCATCTCTAGAAGTAACTATATTTAACATTGAGAAAATGACATTCCTGTGGTTCTAAAACAGATTTCTAAATTTGGAGCCCCCCCCCCAACTAAAGCCAAAAATATTTGTTTGATAACTAAACACTTGTACATGTAGTTCTTGACTTACAACTGATTGTTTAGTGATCGTTCAGAGTTACAATGACATTGAAAACCTTATTACTGTTTTTCACACTTGTGATTGTTGCATCCCCATGGTCATGTGATCAAAATTTGGATGCTTGGCAACTGGTTCCTATAAATGTGTAGTGTCCCTGGGATCATATAATCACCTTTTGTGAACTTCGGACAAGCAAAGTCAATGGAGAAGCCAGATTCACTTAACAATCCTGTTACTAACTTAACAACTGTGATGATTCAATTAACAACTCTCTGGCAAGAAAGGGCAAAATTTCCATTAACAATTGTCTTGCTTAACAACAGAAATGTTGGGCTTAATTGTGGTGGTAAATCGAGACTACCTTACATCATATGTTGAGTTATAATTACACTGTGTAACGTGCTTTTGAAATACCTTTGCAAAACAAGACAAATGCAGAAAACATTTATATGCCAGCCAATCAGAAGAATGAAATAAAATGAAGAGTATATCTTTGAAGTATTTTTTTTTAAGCAAAATTGTCATTGTAGAAAAAGGGAGTAAATACAGAAATAGGAGTGGAAGTTTTAGGATATCTGAAATGTTCAATCCAAAGATAAATTATAATAATCTGACTAAATAAAAAATCTTTTTTGTTTTTCCATTTTTAGGGGGAAATAACTATGATCAAAACCACCTAATTCTCAATACAGCCAGTGATGACAGACCAACGCAGTGCTGGGAACCACTGATTATTTAAAAGGCAGATTGAGATGTAACCCAATACTTGAGAAGTGAATTAGACAAATGGTGATTTTCCAACCAGCTTGACCAGTTTGAAGAAACAAAAATTGTAATGTACTCATTCAATCACTGCATCCAAGAGTAGAGTAGCCCTATATGGCTGTCATGTCACCTAATTTCTATTATGTTTGTTGACTCTGCTTTGTTTCATTCTTTTGTTCAAGCCCACCGTCCTCCAAGCTCTGCAGGGGGGCAGACCAAACCAGAAGTGAGGAAGTTACTACATATGGAGTATAACATGCCTAGAATGGACTCCCTGTTTCAGACTCTCTTTTCCAATTCTTTAGGTAGGATACAAGGAAGATGACAGATCTGGCAAGCTCAGTCGTACTTTGCCAGGAATGAAATTGTGTATGGTATAAATATTCTGGGTTGAAAGGAAATAGTCTTCGACTTTTCTGTCCTTTTCTTATTACAAGCATTAAGGTGCATCACAAGCAGCCCTTTTGTATCACTAAGGCTACTAACATTTTAATGTGCAATTCTAAAAGTAGACTTAATGTTTTGGTGCTCCATGCTTAGAGCTGAAACTGAATTTGGAATATTTTAAAACTGCACTGGACTATTTTGTAGTGAAAGCTCTTTGTTAACTAGTCCAATGCTATCAAAAAATAAATTAGCTATTTATGTAAAATCTAAATCATTTCAGATGATTTTAAAATAAATGAAATTGTCATAGACGAATGCTTTAGTACCTAACAAACATTTGTTGCTGAGTTTTTCCGTCGGTTAAAAATGCCAATTATCTGCATGGCTGCCTTATTTTACACAATTTGCACTTATTGTCTCTGTACATGGCAAGTATACTGTTTCTCTGTTCAAAAATGATTTACTTTAAATTGCGTAACGAGCTATATGTGACTTGCGTATCACAACAGTTCTTGCTTTTTAATGAGCTGCATTAAGAAATGTTTCCTTACGTCTTTGCTTTCAATCTTCTCTGGTGAAAGTCGCTACGTGTATTTCCGATTCTGTATTCATGTAATTTCAATATTCAATGTACATTTTTTCCTGCTTTACACCCCCTTATTTTCATCCACATTCCTCTAATGCTGCATTGATCATTAACATGAAAATGTCTCAAAATTTGAATTCAGAAAAATGTAATCTGAATATTATACCTAGTAGCTTCTTGAAGAACAGTTATTTTAATGTTAAAGCTGGCTTTACTTGAGCACAATTGTTTCTGCAGTAAAACAAACCCCACTTTTAAGTTAAAATTGGTTTGTATGTAACAGCTGAATATCAAAATGCTGCAATTCCGGCGGGTCAAAAAATTCCACCAAAATTATTTGTAAAATTGTCGTCACTAATGACAAAGCTACGCAATACTACTGAATAGAAAACACTGTTAATAAATCCCCGTTTCTTCAGAATGTCTAATCCTGCTGCTGCATTTTACAAGAGAAATTAGAAATAACTCTTGCATCAATAGTCTTCACTGCTCCTTCCAAATCTGTAACTATTATTTCTGCTCTTTCTTTTATCATGTACACCAGGGGCAGTCAACCTTGGCTCTTTTATGACTCGTGAACTTCAACTCCCAGAATTCTGGGAATTGAAGTCCACGAGTCATAAAAGAACCAAGGTTGACTATCCCTGATGTACACAAACCACTTGAAAAGCAGCATTGCCAGTAACCATCTTGGAGCATTAACAGATGTTGCTTGAAGCCCATGGAGGAAGCTGAGTGTCCTTCCCCCCCTCCCCCTACACACACAATCGATAATACCACACAAAAAAACTGCCACTGCAGCAGGAGGTAGCCAAGCCTGGTGCATTGGAAAGTGCCTGGCTAGGTCACACGGAGAAATCAGTAGGGGCTCAATTAGCTTCCAACACAGATCTGAAGTCATAACTAGCAATGCCCTTAGGCTGCTCAGTCAAATGTCATGAAAATCTATAAGGATTTAACAATGCTGCACTGATTTGTTTGGAAACCGGTATTGTGTTAATTTGCCATTGTTTATTGGGAAATTATAATACTCAATCCAAATGTTAAAATGTTTACTTTGACCCACAATCTGCTGTATAACTGTTTGCAACAATCATGTAGCTGCCATATTTTTCTGGTGACATTTTGAAACTGCTGCTTATATCTTTGATAAAGAAAATATCTTAGGGTGTGGTATTTGCAGAAAATGTCTTTGTGTCCAAACCCTTGTATAAACATATGTATTTTACAAATAAATATTACTCAGATGGAATCTGTTTTGTTTTACAAACATAAGAATTCTGACAAAATGGTCGGGAAATATGCATGTAGGAACTGCCGCTATGCAGAATTTCAGCCATTTGCTCTAAAGGTAATATACATGATAATCACAACACTGATTAGAAAGAGAGAATCCATGGTTCAGATGAACAAAAAGCACATTTTAATTACCACAGAGAACCATCGCTGCATTTACACATACCCACATAAACTCTGAATAGAAATCCCACCAATAGTTAGATCAATAGGGTGGACAAACCAAACATATATTTGCATGTACATGATTCCACCCTGTAAGGGTAATTAATATTCATAGAACCAGGAGACTAATACACTTAACTTATGATATCTATATCTAAAGCGACCAACATTTTCAACTACATATAACTCTGGTCCAATGTAGCCATTCTACAAATACTAAGTAACTTCTAAAGCTTCCCAACAACTTCATACTAATGCATGATAAAGAATCGGGTTTTTTTTTATTTCTCCACCCCATTATTATTAAATAATAAGGGACTGCACAAAAACATTCTATAAGTTTCAGTTGGAAAATGTTAAAAGGTTAATACGAAAGTAGAATACTTCCAAAGAGTTATGTTCCTGTTTTGAAGTAGGAATTCCTACAAGTGGCTAACAGAATATTTGTAGCGCAAGAATTTCTAAGAAAATTAATTTTTACAAAGGAAATATCACAGAAACAAAGATTTCAATCCTTTTTATTAATTACATTGATCACTGTTTTTCCACGTGCATGCCCTCTTTCCATCTTCTGAAAGGCCATGGGAACATCAGAAAATTCAAAGACTTGGTCAATAACTGGATGTATCTACATGGAAGAAAAATACTGTTATTTAAAACTGCCACCAATTTCAGTATGTTTGTAATTAATCTGTAATATTTGCCTGTCTCACAGAGGTGTCACGGAAGCTTTCAAAAGCCTTTCAACAGAACTCTATAGCAATGAAACACGTTCTCAAATGATTGATTGCTTATCTATTGTTGCACATGAAATTAATTATGAAAGCAATACTGTAGATGAGGTGAAAAAGTATAAGCAACCAAAACTAGATATACTTTCAATATCCTCCCTCCCACCAGTTTTAAGGAAGTTCTTTATTGTGAATATTTATGTCACCCAAACAACCACGTGTTTTATAGAATAAATGCTGAGCATCTGTTCACCCCCCATACACACACACACACACAAATTCTTGTCATATTTTGCAGATATGTTTTTTTATCTTAAAGTAAATAGAAACTGATGACAGAGGGGGCAAATATAAGACGGCATCTATTGCAAGGATAAGGTTCTTCATAAAAATCATCACTTAGTTCAAGGTCTACTTCAAGGTGATTTCATTTTCATTTCTTGTTTACAATAGAGCAAGACATTAAAATGCCCAAAATTAGTACACAAGAAGGGGTAAATAAAGAAGAGCTAAAAGATTGAAGAAGCCACCAAAACTATGGTTTCTAATATCCAAACGCTTTCTTTTGGAAGCTATACTCATATTACTATGTGAAAACATTACATATAATGTGATTTTTTAAAAAATATGTAATTTTCAGGATCGTTCTCTAGAGGGCACAATTTTACTACATGATGCCCACAACATCCGGCAGGCGGGGGCTGTTCAAAGAAGCAAGTTGCTTTCAGCTTAAACAGATTTTTGTTCAAGGCTACAGCAAACTAGTTCCCTTGTGCTATATTATTGCAGACCACAATATGGTTGGGTTGCTGGCCTTCAACATTGACAGGAAGTGTAATGACGGCTGGGACTGATGAGCACAGCACTTTGGTACATTAAGCCCTTTATCTGGCTGGTCGATCCAGACTCATTGTTTCAATAAACCTGAAAAGGGCTGATCCTGTAACCTAGTATAATATGTCATTCACTGTTTACTCCAAACAGCCTGACTAAGACAAATATTTCTTTCGGTACACACAACCATACGAGTCAGCAAGTGGTGATGTGACAGTAAAAGGAGATTAGCAAGACAATGAAAACACTATCTTTGTGTTACATTTACACACCATTCAAAAGAGACACCAAAAAAAAAAACCTAAGAAGGAAACAAAAAAGGTCAGAACACATCCTCTTCAGCAGCCAACTCCCAGATAAGCAGAGATTAACACCAGATAAATAATTAAGCAGAAAACAATAGCCTAATCAAAGGACATAGAAGCAGACAAACAATCAAGCAGAAAATAACCTAATCAAGAAACTACCAAGGAGAAAACTACATTGCCACCAACACTGGCCAAGGAAAACAATTATATATATATATAGAGAGAGAGAGCAAATACTAGATTCACTAGCATGATCACATTACCTAATCAGGTAATGAAATGTCTGCAAACAAATGACCAAACCCAGGAAGGACCAAGGCCTCCGCAGCCGAAAAGGGTTGTATACATCCACAAAGAACTATTACTGAACTCTTACACAATTGTCCATTGTTGGTCCATCGCTCATTAATGTAATCATTCTATATATTAATAGCAAACTGAATTCTTACGTCGATCGTGCTCTAGGCAAAGTAGTGTCCTTATGTAACAAGATTATTAGGAATCACCAAGAAAACCCTCAGTTTTGTTCACCCACAAATATGGAGAAAATAAATCAAGATTTTAAAAGAACAGGAGGGCAATCAAAATAGACCCTTGAAACAGAAACCTTATTTGGTTGGACAAGAGTAATGTATCCCGTAATTGTGGCAGGGTACAACTGTGCTTTTATACTCTGGGTTCTACTGACACATATTGATAAAACTAAAGGAACATGTCCTTCCCCAGTCAAAACACTGTATCTTCCAGTGATACTGTGGGGCTCAAAGAAGCAGGAAACACTTCCAGTGTTGGAGCATTCATCGCTTCTGGAGGTAGGTTGCATCCATTAATGACTTATGATAGTACTGAAATTCAAACTGAAGAAATTACTGACTTCAAAATCCATTTCTTTTTACCTCATGTTGATATCCTTGGTTGCCCTGCAAACCAACATTTGGTTGAGTTGTGGCTCAGAAGGAATCATAATACTGTTCTTAAAAATAACAGTGGATAAATAACCCCATTCTAGCAAGAACTCTGGTTTCATCCTGGTTCTTTGACTCTCTTACTCCCTTCTCCCTCTGGATGGAGCCAGTGTCACATTGCAGCTTCCCTAATGAAAAGACTGGAGGGCAGACTGCTAAGGTTCTCCTTCAGAGCAACATCTTTTGAACAAATAACAGAAAAAGCATATAGATCACAGCAAAGATGGCCACATTGAATTAAACTAATTAAGCAGAATTTAACTACACTGTCTCGTCCAAAACATTGGCAATATGATGCAGAAGAGGGATTGAGGCAGGTCCTTACACTAATATAGAGAAAAGTCTGCAAGGGTATATTGGAAATACCGTATATGCCGCCATATTAGGCGACCCGGCGTATAAGACGACCGTCTTTATAGCCGGGCCGCATTCCTAGAACGTCGTCTTATACGCCGGAAACTACCAGTATTTCCGGCGTATAAGACAACTCGGCGTATAAGACGACCCCCGTCTTTGGCGCCAATTTCAGTGCTCGCGGAAGTCGTCTTATACGCCGGCATTTACGGTAGTGTTGGATTCTGCTGGCTGATTCTGCGAGGGTAAATAACAGGCAGTAAAGGTTATGTAGTTATACATGAATTTTATGTGTTTTGTGTTTGCTAACCTTTCACCCTGCTGAGTGACTTGAGTGGACTCCTTATGAAGTTTCCCATCTGTACGCTAGGACTAGGGATCTCTTTCTCTAGCTGCCCTCTTATGCTGAGTTAGGGATCCATGAACATTTATGTTGGAAAGCAAGGTACTCAAAAGATGCACACTTCTGGCAGAGGACAGGACCCCTCCCCCCGCTTTTCAAATTGGCACTCAGATGGGCAGAAAGGCTTCAAAACTGAGTGAGAAAAGCAACCAATTAATTCACAGGCTCAGCAACACACTTTTTAAAGGATCGATACCAGACCACATAAATAGGGTTCCTTTTGCCATGACATTCATTAGTTTCATTTAATTCAAATTTAATTCATTTAATTAAATTTCATTTAATTAATTCAATACTTTTCTTTGACTATGCATTGCCTATTGTTTTTCTAAAGTATTCAATAATAAAGGAAAAGAGAAGAATAGTTCAAGGGGAAAAGAGAAATTCAATTCCTCCCCCCAAAACCCACAAAAAATAACCCCTAACCTGGGATAAAATTAAAAACCAAAGCCTACATAAAGGAAGGCCTGACTTTTCCGATGCAGTATGCATGTATTAATGCTCTTGAGTTCTTCCTGACATCGGGATGAAGGGGTCAACCTCAAGGGAACTAAAAAGCTAGAGGACCACACTCTGCCAATTACATCTTTTCTGGTAAGCTGATGTAGTACAATATGGGAAATAAAACAGCCCTTCCACCACGAGGAATATTCAGCAGAAAGTGCACTTGCTGGCGAGTTGCTTTCTGCTAAACTTAGCAGAAAAACTTGAACCAAAACAACATGGGTTCATTAAATAGCAAAAGTGAAATTGCTCGTTTAGCCATACCTTTCCTGCATTAACGAGAATTGCAATCTCATCCAGATAAGGACCACTTGATGTAAAAAATGACCATCGGTAATGGATCCCATTATAAAGATGCTGTAAAGGAAAGAAAAAAAAAGAAAATTAAGAACCAAAAAGTAAGCAAAACTGCATAACCTTCCACAAACATTTTAGTGAGCTGCCACTTACATAAGCAAAGGGGGGGAAGCAAAAATACTTTTTATTTCCTAACTGACCTTCAAAACTTTTGCGCCAATAGTGATGCCAGTCCGTAGCATGCCATCAGCTACGCCAAGTCTGTCCATGTTCACTAAAAAAGGTGTTACCAAAGTCACATATCTGGCCCCTGACCACTTTCTGAGCAGATTAGGAGCCCAGTTTTCAGTAGATCCACCAACATTATCCAGGATGAAATCAAACCTAAAAAGAAAAATGCACGCACCAATTAATTTTCAAAGAGCAAGTGACTTCAACATGATATGTATTTTCCCCCTGTAGGAAACAGCTTGAAGTTTAACACCTCAAAAACCAAGATCATGGTCGTCAGCAAACAACCCATTAATTTACCACCTATAAATTCAGAAGGAATACCACAAGAAAGAGTTGAAAGGATCACGCACCTCGGTTCTAATTTACATGAAAGCTGGGACATGACCACTGAAATAGAGACAAGAACAGCATTCTTCAAAGTGAAAAAGGTCTTCTGTAGTCACGACATAAGCCTAAGACTGAAAATCAGTCTTGTCAGATGCTATATTTTTTCTATCCTGCTCTATAGAGTAGAGAGTTGGTCTCTGACAGAAGGCCACCTGAAGAGACTAGAAGCATTTGAAATGTGGATTTACAGGCGGCTGTTACATATAAGCTGGGTTGACAAGATCAGAAATGAGGAGGTGATCAGCTGCCTGGGAAAACCAAGGGAAATCATCAAAACAATTAAACGAATATTAGAATATTTCGGACATGTGATGCGACACCCAGAAAAATACGGCATACTCCATTTAATCCTCCAGGGAAAGATTGAAGGCAAACAAGGTCCAGGCAGAAAAAGAACATCGTGGCTTCAAAATATAAGGGGCTGGTTTGGACAAAACTCAGCAGCACTTTTTCGTGCGGCTGCTGATAAAAACAGGATCGCCAATATGATCGCCAATGTCCGATAATGGAATGGATATGGCAGAAGGAGGAGGAGGAGGAGGAGGAGGAGGAGGAGGAGAAACCATGCTAGAAGCCAATATAATTCCTACTCAAAAGAGGTGAGGAAGAAATTGTCTTTGAACAAGGGTGGGCAACTATTGTGATTCCAACTCCCAGAATTCCTGAGGAATTCTTATCCACAGGTCCTGAAGGTGCTAGGGACAGGGGCCATCTGAAAGTAAATTTCTAGTTTGTGGAAAATAGCAATGTTGATTTGCAAGATACCCAGAAAGTAAACAGCCAACCTCACCATTGGAAAAAAAATTTGCACAACACACCAATAATTTAATTATATTACTACGTACATGGGTAAATTTTTGAGCTGTTCTTCCATATTTCCAGATTTATAATCTATTACATCATCTGCTCCAAGACGTTTTACCAATGCGCTGGCATCCTGAGAACACACTGCTGTGACGTGACCACCCCAAACTTTCATTAACTAAGAGAGAAGACAAAAAAAAGGAAAAGAAATCTACAACCACATGCACAAAAATGATTCAACTCACCTGCTATGAATGCTACACAACTTCCCTGATTCTAACTCAAGTTTACACCAAGGGCTGTTTTGTTTTGGGGACGCTACGGGGATCCTTGGCAGTGTCGCATTTTCTGCAGTCTTTCATCCTTAACATCTTACCCACCACACCTCAGGATGACAGAATGGGGAAGATTAACTTGTTTGTCGTCCTTTCTGCGATGTTTTCCAGTTTGCATCCTCATTTTTGAAATGGTGTGGCCCAAATAGAAGAGCCTTACAATGCAACAGCATCGCTGTGTCTTGAACTCTTTTTTCCCCCCTGCTCCAATATGTGTTTTTGAGTATCTTCCAAAAATGTAATTGTCAGCTCTTCGTGTTTTATACCTATGTACTTTACAATACAGGTAGATTAGGGGTAGGCAGCCTGGGCTCTTTTATGACTCGTGGACTTCAACTCCCAGAATTCCTGTAGCTGACTCAGGAATTTTGGGAGTTGAAGTCCATGAGACATAAAAGAGCCCAGGTTGCCTACCCCTGAGGTAGACCTTGACTTATGACTGTAGTTGTGTCCAGAATTACACCAGTAAGTCATGCCGGTCATTAAGTGGGTCATAAGGTGGTCATCTTTTTTGCAGAAGTCACAGAGCGAACATTAAGGGAATGCTACAGTTGTTAAATTAATCCACCGTCCGCAATGAGCTTTTTTTTTTGTCAGAAACCAAAAGTAAATGCTGATTTCCAGAAAAAAAAGTCACATGTTTTGATCATGTGACCACAGGGCACTGCCAATGGCCATAAAGGCAGGGCAACTGCTGAGCACCCAAAATGTGATTTTTGGAGGGGAAGCCCTCCAACTTTGAACCCTGGTCATAAGGAGCCCTGCAGGGGTCTGCTGAAATTTCAAATAGTCACTAAACGATGGTCACAAGTTGAGGACTACCTGCCAATGATGTTTAAAAAACCTTAACTCCCAAAGAGGGAGTCTTATTTCTGCATTGCTTTTAATTAGGTTCCATTTTACACTAATAATTATTTCATTCTGCAGCAATTTCCCACAAAGGAATCATTGAGGAGCAGGGATTCATGGAACACTTAACCTGAATTAACACATGTCCAAATTCACATAATGCACTGTCGAAGTTTTCCTAAGAATCTCTATAAACTACAAAGCAATTGCTAATATTTGTTTGATTGCACAGCTCAAATACTCTTAGTGGCGATATTACAGTATTTATTGTAGCCACTATTATAAATGTGAAAATAAAGTAACAAAATGGAGGCTAAAACATATAAGCAACAACAAAGTAACAAAGTTGATTAGGGGACTGGAGACTAAAACATATAAGGAACGGTTGCTGGAATTGGGTATGTCTAGTTTAACGAAGAGAAGGACAAGGGGGGACATGATAGCAGTGTTCCAATATCTCAGGGGCTGCCACAAAAAAGAGGCGCCTTTTCCAAGGCGCCTGAAGGCAGGACAAGAAGCAACGGATGGAAACTAATCAAGGAGAGAAGCAACTTAGAACTAAGGAGAAACTTCCTGACAGTTAGAACTAACCAGTGGAACAACTTACCTCCAGAAGTGGTGAATGCTCCAACACTGGAAGTTTTTAAGAAGAGACTGGACAGCCATTTGTTGAAATGGTATAGGGTTTCCTGCCTGAGCAGGGGGTTGGACTAGATGACCTCCAAGGTCCCTTCCAACTTTATTATTATTATTATTATTATTATTATTATTATTATTATTATTAGACTTTTTTCCTTGAACTATTTAGTTATGTATATATTGCAATTATTTGTATTGTACCTTCTTGAATGACCAATGGATAGAAACTAATCAAGGAGAGAAGCAACCTAGAACTAAGGAGAAACTTCCTGACAGTTAGAACAATTAACCAGTGGAAGAACCTGCCTCCAGAAGCGGTGAATGCTCCAACACTGGAAGTTTTTAAGAAGAGACTGGACAGCCATTTGTCTGAAATGGTATGGGGTTTCCTCCCTCAGCAGGGGGTTGGACCCTGCCAACATATTATTATTATTATTACTATTATTATTATTATCATCATCATCATCATCATCATTATTATTATTCATACAATTGTAAAAGACTCTATTCTAGGTTTCTTTCAAGAAACAAGGAAAAATTCTGCCAAGATGATCAGATTTAACATATTTACCTGTATAGCAAAGGTACCCACTCCACCTGATGCACCAATGATCAATATTCTATGAAGCAAGAACAATTACAAATAATGAAAATATTAACTTCTGTATAATTTTATATCTAGCGATCAAAAGGATTAAACTGATAAAATGCCTATTGTGCAAACTGTGTTTAAGGAACTCAGTTTATATGGTGCAGCGTTAAAAAACCATAAATTAAGAGGAACCTACATTTCAGGTAACCTTAAATTTAAAATATTACAAGTTTAAAGCACAAGACAGTAATATTTAAATGTTTTACGAAATGCAGGTAACATATCAACGTAGTAGAAATATTATGAGAATAAAATAGGTAAATTGGTTACACTTGGTTAACACTGGCATAAAGGATAAAATCTAGCAACGCTGAGAAAATTATACAGATGAAGAGTGATTTTTTTAAATTTATCTGTGACATATTCCTATGCCTGATATAAGATATTTAAATTAGTTATGTTCAAAGAAGTATTATTTTACAAAAGCTAAAGAGCACGAAATCTATTATTCTTTAAAACAGGGGTCCCCAAACCCCAGTCCTTGGACCGGGACCGATCCACAGCATGCCGGCAAGTGGGCCGCCCAAACAAGCAAAGCTCCATCCTCAGAATGCAGGCAGTATTCAAAACCACTACCCCCCTCTGGTCCACAGAAAAACCTTTCCCCATGGTACTGGTCCCTGGTGCCCAAAGGGTTGGGGATATCTGCTTTAAGAGATGCTAAAATTGAATCAGGAGGAAAATACTCACACTCACAGATATCCCAATAAAGTTAAGGACTTACTTTGGACAAGAGAGTCCATGATCAACTTCTGATAGATCATCTGGCTGTTTACCTTTTGTCAGGACAATTTTCTGCATCAAGTCCCCCAGCATTGGACACTGCAAACCATGTTGTTAGGCCAACATAAGGCAAGGACGCAGCTTCAGTGTGAGTGAGACGCTTCGGTTTCCTTGATATCTGCATAAAAATAAATGCATGGAGATATTGTCCCGTGTTCCCTCAAGTCCGAACTTTTTCCTTAAATGCAGATCTACCAAAGAAAGCAAATGAACACTCACTTGTCAAATTCATACATGTATCTCTTAGGCGTTCAGTTTGAAGCAGTTAGAAAAACCTTGTATTTGGAAAGACACCTCAGGATAATCAATTCTACAAAATGAACAGTCACCCTTTAGGTACTACAGGTCGTCCTTGACTTACGACCTCAATTGAGTTCAAAGAATCTGTTGCTAAGTAAGACATTTGTGAAGTGAATTTTGCCCCCCTTTTCAACCATTCTTGACACAGTCATTAAGTGAATCACTGCAATTTTAAGTTAGTAACACAGTTGTTGAGTGAATCCAGCTTTACCACTGACTTTGCTTGTCAGAAGGTCACAAAAGGTGATCATATGACCCCGGGACACTGCAACTGTCATAAATACACGCCAGTTGCCAAGCATCTGAATTTTGATCACATGACCATGGGGATGCTGCAATGGTTGTAAATGTGAACAACAGCCATAAGTGTCACTTCCTGGAGCACTGGGGAACTACTAGAGGACAGGAAAAGAGCTGATGTAGTTCCCATCTTCAAAAAAGGGAAAAAAATAGATCCAGGAAACTATAGACCTGTCAGCCTGACCTCAATACCTGGGAAGATTCTGGAAAAGATAATCAAGCAACGAATCAGTGAACGCCTAGAGGCAAACAAAGTCGTTACCAAAAGCCCACATGGGTTTGTCAAAAACAGATCATGCCAGACAAATCTCATTGCGTTCTTTGACCAGGTGACAAAATTAGTGGACCAGAGGAATGCTGTGGATATAATTTACTTGGACTTCATTAAGGAATTTGATAAAGTAGACCACAACCTACTACTTCATAAGTTAGAAAAATGTGGGTTAGACAGAATCACCACCAGATGGATTCATAGCTGGCTGACCGGCCGTACTCAGCATGTAGTCCTCAATGGAACTAAATCTACATGGAGGAAAGTGAGTAGTGGGATGCCCCAGGGTTCTGTTCTGGGCCCAGTGCTCTTCAACATCTTCATCAATGATTTGGATGAAGGGATAGATGGGGAACTCATCAAATTTGCAGACAACACCAATCCAGAAGATAGGTTTAAGATACAGAAGGATCTTGACAGACTTGAACATTGGGTGCTATCTAACAAAATGATATTCAATGGTGAAAAAAGTAAGGTTCTACATTTAGGCAAGAAAAACCAAATGCACAGGTATATATAGGTGGTATCTTGCTCAATAGTAGTAACTGTGAGAGAGATCTCTGAGTCCTAGTGGATAATCACTTAAATATGACCCAGCAGTGTGCTGTAGCTGCCAAAAAAGCGAGCACAATGCTAGGCTGCATTAACAGAGGGATAGAATCAAGATCACATGAAGTGTTAATACCACTTTACAATGCCTTGGTAAGGCCACACTTGGAATACTGCACCAAGTTTTGGTCACCACGATGGAAAAAAGATGTTGAGACTCTAGAAAGAGTACAGAGAAGAGCAACAAAGATGATTAGGGGACTGGAGGCTAAAACATATAAGGAACGGTTGCCGGAATTGGGTATGTCTAGTTTAATGAAGAGAAGGACGAGAGATGACATGATAGCAGTGTTCCAATATCTCAGGAGCTGCCACAAAGAAGAGGGAGTCAAGCTATTCTCCAAAGCACCTGAAGGCAAGACAAGAAGCAACGGATGGAAACTAACCAAAAAGAGAAGCAATCTAGAACTAAGGAGAACTTTCCAGACAGTTAGAACAATTAATCAGTGGAACAACCTGCCTCCAGAAGTTGTGAATGCTCCAACACTGGAAGTTTTTAAGAAGAGACTGGACAGCCATTTGTCTGAAATGATATAGGGTTTCCTGCCTGAGCAGGGGGTTGGACTAGATGACCTCTAGGTTCCCTTCCAATATCGTCATCATCATCATCATCATCATATTATTATTATTATTATGGGTCATCGCACAGTCAGCCAGATGTTCAGACTGGATTTGGCATTTTGTCTACCTATCGAGTCCTTACCCAGGACCTGGGATAGGCAGATGTGGATGTTTGATGGTATTACAGATATCGTCGCAGGATGGAAGCAGTTCCTAATAAGGCTGCCTTTTGCAATTGATTAATAGCTATTATTATTATTATTATTATTATTATTATCTTTTATTCATTAGACATGAACCTCAGTCAACTGAACATTCAAATTGGCTGACGTTGATGGTTGACATGGGTTGCTACCAGCATCCTAGGTGTCAACCATTATTATTATTATTATTATTATTATTATTATTATTACTTTTTCGGTGGTGGTGTAATTTTGAACGGTCACTAAATGAACTGTTGTAAGGCAAGGACTACCTGAACTGTAGGTCACATATGGCAAGTAAGACTTGGCAGTAAGTGACGGGTCTTTTCTGTAACCTTCTCTGTCTCCACAACGAATGAACTGCACTGACAGAACATACATCTGATTCTATCATAAAGGCGAGCAAGAGAATGCATATTCTCTATCTGTCTTGGGGTTGTCCTGCAGAGCTTTTTTGCCAGCTGGCCAAATAAAGCACAGTGTTTTTGCAGCAGCCAGTCAGATCCCTCCTTTCCACTCTCTTTTCCAAAGCCCAATAGAAAAGAGGGAAATGCTTATAATACTATGAGGATCCGAGTGGAGATTCTATGTTATTTTAATATTTTAACTTCAAAGGGTTTTTTAACGTTTGAAGGGTAAATATGGAAATAACACATTTTAGGCACAGTGGTTAGAACGAAGTATTGCAGGCAAACTCTTTCCACAGTCTGGAGTTGGATCCTGATGGGGCTCGAGGTTGAGTCAACCTTCCATCCAAGGTCGGTAAAATGAGGACCCAGATTTTGGGGGCAATGTACTGTCTCTGTAAACCACATACAGAGGGCTGTAAAGCACTTTGAAGCGGCATATAAATTCAAGTGCTATTGCTATTTTTAAAAACTACAAATTAATTATTTTTTTTTTGCATTTGCGCATATGTTTAGTTCATTTGGAAATAAAACTTTGTTGACTTACCTCATTTCCACTTGCTAGAACAAGCTCTGACAAGGTACCTTGTTTCCAGGGTGGAATTGCTGCCCATACCTGAAAATTAAAGAATCTGAAATATTTTGTTTCTACAAAATAACCCAATTTTTTGACGCGTGGAAGGTGGTGTATCTAAAGCAAGCACTTAAAATTCATATTCCTCATTCCATTCTGGAAAACCTTTCAGCAAGTTTTTGATTCCCATAAAATACAATAAAAGAGAAAAATACTACTCCTTTCAATCTTAAATGAAAATATCTGTTGAAGTCATTGGTTTCTACACTAATGATTTGTAAATCCACTCAAAATACGAAGGCTTTTTTTGTTTTGTTTTTCTTTGCTTTTATTAGCGAGGACTTTCTTGTGTGAGAAAATTCTGAAAGTGCTAATATATTGCCAGCTAAATTTAAAGAAGCAGCATGATGGGGACTTCCGGTGGATCTGCGCGCGCGATGGCGGCTACTTTGTAGCCGTCCTCCTGGGTGTTTGAATCACTATGAACAGTGGACATCAGCTGTTCAGCGGTTCAAAATCCCCCTCCCGGGCAAAGGGAGGGGAAAGAGGATTGTCTGAATAGTGGTAGAGCCTCTTATGCACCCCCAAAGCTTTTTTGGGGGGGTGAAAAGAGTGCTCCCACGGAGTTCAGACTGTCTCCGCTTCCCAGCTGCTTTTGTCTCTAGGGACAAAACAAGCCGCTGCAACCACCTCCGCGATTAAAGTGATCTGGTGAGTTTTTCTTAGAAGCGGACAGAGCTGAGTAGAGGATTTTGCTTTTGTTTTCTCTGATCTTATTTGGATTTTAAGTTTAAAGATTTACTTTTATTCCCTCTTTTTGCTTTTTTCTTTTGTTGAAAGGAAAAGTAAAATGGCGATCGGCAGGCTTTTTGGTGTTTTCTTTTTTCTTTTAATGACTGGAATGGAATGGAATGGACTTGTTTATTTATAATGATTTTTTTTTTGATGTTGGGTTTGGATTTTAGGAGGATTATTATTTTTGTTTAACTTTTTTATTTTTTGAAGGATTTTTTGTTTTGTTTTGTCTTTTGTACTTTTTAAAAAAAAATGGAATGGATTTTTTCTATTTAATCATTTTTTTTTCTCTTCCCCTTTTCTTTTTTTTTTAACTTTTTTCTTTTTATTATAATGATTTCCCTTTGAAGGATTTTTTGGAGTTAATCTTTCTTTTTCTTTTGTTTAACTTTTTCTTTCCTTTTTTGGGGGGGGGTAATTTTTAAGAAGGAGTAAAGATTTTTTAAGACGGCTCCAAAGCGTTCAGCAATTCCTACAGCTCCTAAGGTGGTTTCTTCTTCGGTGTTATCATCAGCCCAACAACCTAAATCAATAGCTTCACCCTCTTCTTTGGCACACTTAATAACGGTGAAGGATTTGCAAGACATAATGGGAAATGCTATATCTCAAATTAGGGAAGAAATGAAAGAGATTTCAGAGGAAAATAATAGGATTTTGAGACAAGAGATAGTTTTGGCTTTAAAAGGAGTTGCCTCTGTTCTTGAAAAGTTGAATTCTCGTGTAGAAGAGGTTGCAGAAAAAGTGGAATTGATGGAGGGAAAATTTGAAAGTATGGAAAAAGAGATGGAAAATTTTCAAGATGAGATTCTTATGCTTCAATATAGACAAATGGAATATGCTTTAAGAATTAGAGGCTTGAGAGAATCTTTGCAAGGAGATCTGAGAGAGATGGTTGCAAATGATTTTGCTGTGATTTTGAATAGAGAAAAAGAGGAAATACTTAGTGAAATTGAAAAAACATTTAGAGTTAATTCCGTGGTGACAGAGCAAAGGAATTTGCCAAGAGATGTGGTAATTTATTTTGGGAAAAGATCCCTATGCAACGAAATTATACAAGCTTTTTATAAGAAGAGGTTTCAAATTGCTTCACAAGATGTTATAATTCTAAAGGAGATCCCATCTAAAATTTTAAGAAGAAGAAAGGAGTTTGCTTTTTTAGCAGATGAACTTAAAAAGAGGCGAATGTTGTTCAGATGGGATGTTCCGACTGGAATGGTGGTGAATTACCTGGGGACATGTTATAGACTTAATACAGTTTTTAAAGCAAAAGAGTTTTACACTTTGGTCTTGGGGGTATGTTTATCGCCATCCATTACGTTAAAAGCTTTGGAAGAGAAGGAGGTAGAATTGCAGTTTGAAGAGTCTATATTTATGAAAAATGGGGAGGGGCCTCAACAAGTTGAGATGAAGGAGCAGAGGATAACCCGTGCAACATATAAATGTAAAGAAAAGGAGCACCAGAAGAAGGAGGTTAAGGAAGCCTCACAAGTATTGTTTTCTGAGTCTGTGGGAGAAGCAAGATTTATAAACTTTTTGGAGCAACCTTCAAGGGTAGAATTGCAGCCTGAAGAGCCTACATTCATGAAAAATGGAAAACCTCAGTTCGAGGGGCCTCAACAAGTCGAGATGAAGGAGCAGAGGACAACTCGTGCAACATATAAACGTAAAGAAAAGGAGCAACAGAACAAAGAGGTTAAGGAAGCCTCACAAGTATTAGTTTCTGAGTCTGCGGGAGAAGCAAGATTTACAAACTTTTTGGAGCAACCTTTAAGGGCAGATTTTAAAGCACTTCTTTTGAGGTTTTTGGATAAGAGAGATTGATAAGGAATGTATTGTTTTTTAGGCTATTGATAGATTATAGTTCATTGTGGATGGAATTGGTTATTGGTAAAGAGGGTATGAAAATTTTAGATAAGAAGTTTAAGTTTAGCAGTTTAAGCAGTATTTAAAAGAGTATTTTGTTTTAATGGTATAATGAATGCTTATATGTTTATTTTTGTGTTTTAGGATAAAGAAAGAGGGAGAGATTAGATTTTATATTGTATGCACAGATATCTAAGGAGTATTTAAAGGAATATTTTGTTTTAAATATGTATAAGGGAATTTTAATGTTTTTATATTTGTGTTTTTGAGGGATTTTATAAAGAATGATGGATAAATATAACTATGATATTCTATTGATAGATTATAGTCCATTGTGGATGGAATTGGTTATTGGTAAAGAGGAGAGAAGATTATGGAGATTGTATGAAAATTTTAGATAAGGAGTTTAAGTTTAGCAATTTAAGGAGTATTTAAAAGAGTATTTTGTTTTAATGGTATAACGAATGTTTATATGTTTATTTTTGTGTTTTAGGATAAGGAAAGAGGGAGAGATTAGATTTTATATTGTATGTATAGATATCTAAGGAGTATTTAAAGGAACATCTTGTTTTAAATATGTATAAGGGAATTTTAATGTTTTAAGTAATGTTTACATTTGTGTTTTTGAGGGAGTTTATAAAGAATGATGGAAAATAATATAACTATGACATTAGAAAATGTTTAGAGTATATTATAATCTGTTTATATATATATTATTTAGTTTTTCAATAACTTATACTTAAAATTTACTATTGTTAATTATTTTATAACTTGTTTAATTAATGTATTTGGATTTGTTTAGGATTTATATGTGTTTTAATACAGGCTTAATTAAAAATTTTAATTAAGCCTGTATTCAGCTCTGGGAAGGTTGGGGGAGGGCATGGGAGGATTGGGGAGGTTGGGGAGGATACGGGAGGGTCGGGGGGGTTTGGGGAACGGAATTGTTTTGTAAAACTTAAAAATTTTTCAATAAAAAAAAGAAGCAGCATGATGCAGCAGCTTAAAAAGGTAAAATGCAATCTTCAGATGCATTAACAGAACGACAGAAGCCAGATTCCTGTACAGGAGGTAATAGACTTAAGGTACTCTTCATTTATTGAATCATACATGGAATGCTGTATCCAGTTCTGGATCCCATCCTTTAACAAGGATTTTTAACAGGTTTTTAAGAAGTTCAGAACAAAGTTAGCAGGATAAAAAAGGGTCTGGAAGACAAAACTTACAAGGAACAACTAAAAGAACTTAACATTCTTAGCTTTCTAAAGAGGGGACACTAGGAAAATGTTACAGGTAGTAATATTTAACTTATGACCATAATTATGCCCAAAGTTTTTGTCGATAAGCAAGACAGTTGTTAAGTGAATTTTGCCCCATTTTACGACCTTTTCTCGCCAAAATTGTTAAGTAAATCACTGCAATGGTTAAGTTAGCAATATAGTTGTTACGTGAATCTGGCTTCCCCATTAACTTTGCTTGTAAGAAGGTGGCGAAAGGTATCACATGACCCTGGGACACTGCAACCATCATAAGTACATGACAGTTGCCAAGCAACTGAATTTTGATCACGTGACCATGGGGATGCTTCAATGGTCATGTGAAAAACAGTCATAAGTCACTTCTTTCAGTGTTTTTTTTTAACTTTGAACAGTCACTAAACAAACCATGATAAGTCAAGGAGTACGTGTTTAGCAGTCTATGGCTTTTACACACAGGACAGATCAGATCTGACTTTTATTGAAACCATGGGCAAAACATGGAACAATGGGCTGAAATTAAAGAGATTCAGGTTGAGTATTAAGAGGAACATCATAATAATGAGAGGAGTGAAGAAATGAAACAATCTGCCTATTAGAGTGGTCAAGTCCCCTCATCGGATGTTTTGAAATGGGACCTAGATAATCTGCCATGGTGGTTTGAAGATTCCTGTATAAAACAGGAAGAAGGATTAGGATCCTTTCCACTCATGCAGTCTATAATTCTATGATTCTACTTTCAAATTTTCATTACCTCATCTCCAGGTTTGAAATAGGAAACATTCTGTCCACATTCCATAACAACCCCAGAAACATCTCGACCTAGAACTAGAGGAAATTCATTGCCTTTTTCTGAAATGTGTAACGGATCTCGTTTCGCTCTTAGAGCACAAGCTCCATAGCCATCTATTAAAAGAAAAGGAAAAACAGGAATCAATTTGTTGAGCCTTTATTGAGATTTATATACTTCTTTTCGTCACTATTTGCTTGCAATATTCCCTTACCTTATTCATTCCAAATTGAATATTCTCATTTTACAGACTGAAAACTGAGATTGAGATAGACATCAGATTAAAGTCTTAGCCACAGTATAAACAGATATAATCCAGTATCCAGTTTGGCTTTTTTAAACAAGAAAAAGTGAATTTCTTTCTTTAAACTGCAGTCCCATCAGCCTGTCCCAAAGGGTTGTCAGATTTGTCTGAATTCAGTTTAGTATATAATGAAGTTTTAAACTGTGTATTTATAAACAAAAGTGTGGGGTTTTTTTTGTTTTTTTTTTTTGCTGATGCTTCCTACTGCACATTTTCCACTTTTAAATTTACTCTTAAATATCATAAACCAATGTGAAAACAGAAGGGGAATCTCCCCAGCAAAGCTCAGCATATCCTAATAGGATGATCTGACTGCAAGAGAAAATGAGGTCACATTTCCTTGTAAGTGGTAAAATCAAGTAGGACAAAAAGGAATGAGCAAAGTCAAAGAGCAGATGTCAATGGAGATAATTCTATGCTCTTTCAGACTGGATTAAGATAAAATTAAGTTAATGAAAATGTTTAAGCAGACACAGTTAAGGTTACAGTGCAAGAATCCAGGCCTATTCTATTAAATGTCACTTGCATCCCATGAAAATTAATAAATTTCAAACAATATTCACTCTGTAGATGATATTAGGCTGCTGGTTTCAACACATTTAAGAGACGTAACTCTAAAGAAGCTCAAGGCACAATCTATTTATGAAAATCTCTAAGGCAGGATTATTATATCTTGGCTGCAAAAATTTAACAACCAGTAGAAAGTCGCAAAGAAATATAGACATTTTCCTTTGTTTTCATCTAGTACTTGTTTGAATTTTTACAATTCCAGTCTGGTAGTCCTTGTTTAAGGTGACAAGAGAATTCTGTATTAATCAGCTTTTCTACAAGACAAATTCATACAATACTAACAGTAAAATAGAAACATCTGGCACAAAACTGGTTATTAGAGCAGTTACATGCCTACTGCAATGTTCCACATGCCTAGTTTATTTTAAAAAAAAGATAATTAACATCAGACTCCATCCGGACTGAAATAAAAGTACAGAAAGCATCCATAAAATTTATTTTTGTACTTTTACAGTTAGTTCACTGATGTTCATATCTATCTATCTATCTATCTATCTATCTATCTATCTATCTATCTATCCCTATATTATGCAACGCATAACATCTACTTACTTCGCATGTTAACATCTATGGGATTTAAACTTGCAGCATGAACTTTAATAATAACTTCATTAGGGAGGCGAATTGCAGGAAATGTCATGTTACTTGTGAGTCGGAGTACATCGTTTTTCCCATAGCGGTCAATCACCCAGGAAGGCATTGTTGAGCATCTTTGACAGGAAACGTGGAACTTTCTACTCAGCGGCTGTAGACTCAAACTCTTCCTCAATCCAGCCAGGCTAAGACAGTCCAACAATTTAGAACATACTTTCCTCCTAAGTGTGTAGCCCCTTAGCAACATTATTGCAAAAGACAATAGAAATGGTAAGCCTCTTTTGTTCTGCTTTGAAAAATCTCCTAATGAATTAGAAAAGTGTTAATCCTTATCTTACAATCATCATTTTGTTCCTTTACAGTTTGTGAAAAATCTGCCCTTAGTTTCTTTTTTCTCACAAGACAAGAAAAAAAAAACGTGGAGGAGAAAAAACAGAAATAGCTTTCATTGATCCTCCAGGTTGGTGAGCAAAAGGATGTTAAAGTTCACAGGAAGTAAAACTATTTTTTTTTCTTTCCAATTCCAGAATGCAACACCCATGCACCAAGTCCTCAAGGCGATTGAAACTAATCTCTTCCACCAGCAGAAAAACAGCCCCAAATATTGAAATACTTCTCTCCACCCCTCCACAATGTTCTTCTTACGACTTTCAACTCGCGCAAAGATCTACTGGCTTAATCCTAAATCTCCTGCTTGATACCCCCGGTCACCAAAAACCTAAGCAAGCACCCAGGCACCGATTGACAGGCTCCGGCGTCTGGACCAATACAAACGCAGCATGCTTTGATGCTGTGAGCGCTGAGCCAATCAGCGCTCTCAATGTTAGAAATGCTTACCAAGATGGATGCCCCCATGGGTGTCTTCCTGCCGTATCAATAACAGAGATTCGTGCAACGAGGAAGGTCCGCGAGTTGCTTGAACTCTTCGATCCCGGGATGCCTGGCAAAATGCTGCGCGCCTCGCTCCAAGAGGTGCGTCATTTTTTTGGCTGCTCCGGAAGTTATTTATGTCTCTAGATCTGGATTCGTTTTCTGCGTTTAGGGGATACGCTTGTCCAAGTATACTTGGTATACAAAAGATAGAAATCCACATAATTCAGTATTTTCAGTATTGCATGACGGTAGTGGATTCCTAGGATTTTTTTTTTAGATTGCTGTTATAGTAATATATAGCTGTTATTATAACGGATGTGGGTAGTAGAAATCCAGATGACCAGTAGATGACAGCAAAGTGATATGGAAAACTCAAATAGTAGTTCGTCCGGATTTTTGCAACGTAGCCTGCAATCTTGGCAGTGCAAAAGGAGACCATAAATGTCAGTAGTCCTTTTACACACACACATTCAGATAGCTACTTGTGCTTAACATGATACAAATACAAGACTTTCTCACTAAATCCATACAAAATAAACCATCTATTTATATTTACGTAAGAATATAACCTGTGCAGTTTGTATAAGAGTAACCTCCCCAGTGAACACATTGAGGTCCTTCAGGCACAGGATTATGCTACTTGTAGGTTATTTATTTATTTATTTAGTGTATGGCATCTTATACATGGACTACCAATATAAATTAACATTTCATTTGTAGGTATATTATGCTTTTTTCAATGTGATAGTAATATGATATCCACGTTTGCACACATTCAGCTATGTATGTACAAAACTGAGAGGTTACAAGTGTCTCTATTTGGCTACCTAAAATTATGACATCCTGATGATGAGATTTTTATTGAGGAGATTTATTAGTATTTGTAGTTAAAAATGGAGCATAGTCTAAGATAGCAGTGGGGCCTACTGAGTCTATGACTTGATCCGCCAAAAGCAGGAGAAATTAAAAAATCTAATCTAGAACAATCCAGATGGTGTTTGAATACCTCTCTTGTAATGGAGCCTTCTTTTGCAGAATATATCAAAAATTCATTCATTTTTACATAAATAAATATAGAGATTCTACCACTACATTAATATTCTGGAATGCATTTATTTGTGGATCTCTTATTCCTATTGCCTCAGCAAGTGAGTGTGTGTGTGTGTGTGTGTGTGTGTGTGTGGTTTACCTGCAGGAAACTGATAGAAATTAATTCATCAGGAAATATTATGTCTGTTTTTTTTAAAAACACATTTTATTGGTTTTTTAATTCTTAAGAAAAAGTACTCAGGACACCGTGGTGTTTGGGTAATCAAACATTCAAAAGTGAAAACATATATAAACAACTCAACTCAATACATTCACTGTTCCCTCTCTATTTCCCTCAAATAACATAATATGTTTAAAATATTCCATTTCTAATTTAATTTCTATTACTGCTAAACCTGTTTTAAAACTTTGTCAGTTTACAATTACCATAATCAAATTTAACTTTAAATCAACAAGTTATCACTTCAGGTATCCCTTCCAGATATATTCTAATTCTTAATCTCTCATATCCCTCATTTTATCACCAATCTCATTTATTTCTTCTTCCACTACACAATAGATATCCTAATTAAAATAAAATATTAAACTACCCTATACGTATATAATCCCACAATCGATCAATCTCTTTAAAATAACAAAACAATGTTAAACCTTAAATCATTTCAATTCATTAAACAAAATTCAGATTTCATCCAGTTGATTATGCCTTATCACATCTATGTTATCATACAGAAAGGTCATCTTACTAATTTAAAACACTCAGTTAATTATTGAAACCATCCAAATCTAAAAAGCCAACATTTTTTAAATTCCAATGCATAATAATTTTCATCAAAATAAACCTATTATTCCAAAAGGTACATTCTTAATCTATTTAAAATATCTATTCTAATAATCACCCTCCTATATTTTTTTCTTACTTCTGACTCTAAATCTTAATCCTTAAAATAGTCCATAAATCCAACATTGCCTTTTAATCCATTACACAATCTTAAATTTCTCTTTTCAGTCTGATTCTAGCTTTTTTTCTGTGCCAGGCAGGTTTCCATAACCAAGCTTCCTTTTCAGCCAGTAGATCTATTTTTGTTGCTTGCAGTGGCCTTTGAAAAGATAGGAGTCCCATCCTCTGCATTAGGCATCTATTTCTCTCATCCTTAAAGCATCGTTGCTTTGTAGTTTCAAATCCAGTCCTTGCTTCTTCTGTTCCTCAAAGTTACAGATGGAAAGTTTATAAGATAGAATAAGTTCCTCTTTTATCTCTGTTGATTTCTCTTCTGTATGTTTTGATTTATAGAATAGTCAGATGTAGTCTGGACATCAGTTTGAATGTTTGAAGTGAGATTTCTGGATCTTAATTCTGTAGTAAACTCTTTCATTGTAGCACATATTTCTGCAGTAGCCTCATAAATCTTTTCCAATATAAGTTTACAGTTTAATTGTAACTGAGGTTTCTCCATTTTGATAGTAATTAAAAAGAGTCTCTTTTTTCTTTTTTGTAGAGGCTATATTTAATAAAAGTTAGGCAGTGTCCACCCCCACAATTCCCACAGCTGCACAGCTTATCTTTTCTCTTCAAAAATAATTTGAAGGTCAGGCCTATTCCATCTTCAAAGAGTAACCAGAAGTTACAGTATTAAGTTTTTGCCACTAGATGTTCTCAGTAGGTTAAAAAAAGATATTTTCCAGACACCATTTCCTTTTTTCTGTCTTTTAAAGTATAATGTGAAAAAAGAAATAATCTTCCAGCATAAGATGATAGTACAATTCTTAGAAAGAGAAAAAAAATTTCTGTACCCCAAAAAATATGGAAATAAAATATAGTCTTTAAAATTTTGTTCTATTTTTATACAACGCCTTTCTTCCCAAACATGCAGAAGCTGCTTTTTCAAGCCAGGGAAATAATTCCAACAAGGCTCTTACAGGCACAAAAAACAAGATAAAGTAGAGAGAGTAGCAAGGAAAAGTCTCACCCGGATTCATCACGGGGGTTCTTACAGTTTAGAAGTTCTTTGACTTGCGGTTTGAAGTGGCAGGGTGATCGGCCATTTTACTGGCCAATCTTCTCCGTCAGCCCTCAGAGATAGCTCGGACAGCTGGAGGAGCTGCTGCTCCTCCGTAGCCAAGCAAAGCCTCCTTGACAGAAGTCGCACCCTCCAGGGTAATTTTTGACCCGCATAAGAGTCTACCGGCGGAGGGAAGCTAGCCGACGAGACAAGCCTCTTCGTACGGCTAGAGGCGCCGCGAACTGGAACCGGAAGTCAGAAAATATTATGTCTGTTGAAGTCCTCAAAGAACTCTTAAAAGGCGTTGAAACTCATTTTTTTGGCTAGCATTGTAAGAAAATTGAGAGTTCTTTGGCTTATAATCTCCTCTTATCATTTGTCTTCATTTCAAATATAGCATATGTTAATACAACCTTAAAAAGAAATGTTGTGGTTAAAGATGTAAATGTGATGTTAAACTTTATTCTTAAAATATATTTTATGAAGAGTTTTGGTTCTACTGATCTTGGGGCTCAGTGAAAAAGAATAATTTACATAAATAGAAATTTATCTTCCTGGTACTGTGGAATTTGTTACCTAGAATTGAATTAATTCTTTATTAATACTAAATGGATATTATATGTGTGCTTTTCTCTTTTTACTTTTTTTCCCTTTCTCTCTCTTTTGCATTAATGTATTTTAATCATCAAAAGTTATATATGCTCTTTTTTCACTGTATAACTACTACAGTACTTTTTCTGTTCAAATTATTGTATTTCTTTCCCTTTTTTCATTGTCATTTCAGATTTCTGCAGCACTAAAGAAAGGTCATATTAGTTCAACCGAACTTTGTCAGAAATGTCTCTCGTTAATAAAAACTACCAAATTTCTTAATGCTTACATAACAGTAACAGAAGACATAGCAATAAAACAAGCTCAGGCGTCAGAGGAGAGATACAGACAAGGTAAGATACTACTACCAAATAGTTGCTCTCTTCTAAAATTGTTAGTGTCTGAGCCTAATATTTTTTCCTCAAGAGAAATAATTAACGATTATCATATGAAATATACCACTATGTTATTTTATTTATACAAGAGAAAAATCTCACTTCTGTTTGTTTAAAGTAACTGTCTGTGGAGATTAAAGTAACATTTTTCTCTGGTTTTCTCAGAGGTTGTAAATGGCCTACATATATTTGCTGGTTTAAATGTTGTCATCCTCCACAGAAAGAACTTAATATGTGAGAGCAGTTTTTAGTTTTTAGATTAGGTTTGTGTTTTCATAGATATTCCTGTATCCAAGAGAGAGATTTTATTGTTGAACCTATGTATCAATATGGAATTCCAAAATAATGTAAACTGTTCCCTTTAACTAGTG